AAAACAAGATATCTGTAGCTACATTTGCCATTTTTAAGATGAAAAGAATGATATACCAAATATTTGAGATATGAAGATTAGTCTGATGAATGGTGGTGTGAAGTGAAGTCGAACCTTTTCAGAAAAAATACTTTTGACAATGATGGCGATTCAATATTCTGTAACCCTTCTTAGGATTTCGGTTGATATGCTTTGCGGGGTAATTGGTATAGAAGTATAGGAGAGAGAGAAGTAAGCGCACATTAGTCACTATCAGATGCAGCATATAATTCCAGTTATGGTGACCAACTGATCATGTACACATTGTGATGTGTGTGTGTGTATTGGTGAACAGTGATACATGTACTATGGTAGCCTTGGAAGTTTGAACTAAACTCCTTAGATATTTAGTGCCTATCATCTAGGGGTAGGTGGATGAGGAAATGTTTATAAATAGGCAGACTATGATGGTTGTATAATGTATACCTTACCTGTGTAGATTATTAAGATATCTCGTGCTAGCATGTATGCTCTGTAAGTTTGAGTGTGTGTGTGTGTGTGTGTGTGTGAGAGTGTGGGTGTGGGGTTTTTTTCATGACTCTATGTATTATGAAAAAATCGCCGAAAAATGAACAATTACAACAACAACACAATTCAGTTATTGCCACAGTTTGGCAATTTATTGGTAGTATCACTTTAGATACCGTTGTTAGAAGCATTGCGATTTACTTGTTCTACTGGTGGAATTCATAGAAATGACTACACATCTGTGACCACCTGATGGCTAATATTGCACAAGTGTGTTGCTAGAATTGATATATTTCACGAAGGCTTTAGCCCGAGTTAAAATCATCCATTCGTGCAAAAATGGGTATGTTCATTACATATTAGATGCACGACGTTATTATTTAATTTTCGACGTCGTTTTGTAAACCATTGTTGCTCAGTTCGAACATTCGTGAAGCAAATTGAAAATCAGTAAAAGGATATGATTATGTGTGGCACTGGTTTGTAGAAAACTTGTATGTATGTAATGATAGCATACAAACGTATGTATAGTATTGTTTATTTATCACTTGTAACATTAGTATATGAAGTGTATTTCCTGTACATAGAGTATGTATCATCCGTGATATCAGTACGGTCATATGTCTTATGTAAACATTGTCAAAGGGCATTTATAACCTGGAATATCAGTATGAAGCAGTTTATACATGTAAATATTGGTATAGGGTTTTTACAACTTGTAATATCAGTTCATGATGAATATCTCTGTTTATTTTATTTCATTGGTACAAGTATAGGGTCAAAGTATCAAAACATTAGGATGAAGAATTAGAAATAGAAGTGTTAATGGTTACATGTATGAACGATCATTGGAAAAAAACGATTAGTTTTAATTTTTACGTTTCTCTTAAAATCAAAATGCCATTATCACAACCGCTACCCGATCATTTACACATGTCTAAGTGTAGTTAATCTAGTTTGATGACAATTGATAAGTTAACTAGGTACTAGGATATTCGTCAGTCGGTGAACTTGACACTGCGACATTCGCCATATAATGGACAGGAATTGGAACGATTCTCCATTAAGTAAAACAGACATAAGGATGTTCATCAACCAGTGAACTAGGCACTACTGGACTAATCAACCAGTGAACTAGGCACTACTGGACTAATCAATCAGTGAACTAGACATTATGATATTCATCAGTCATTGAACACGTATTGGAATTAAGGCATTAATTAGCCAATGAACTAGACATTTAGACATTGTTCAGTGAGTGAACTAGACATTCAAATATTTATCAGCGAAAATGGGCAGTAGATAATTCATCAGTCGCTTATATGGACTAAAGGCGATACATCAATCAGTAAATAGAAATTATAGAACATATGATATTAAATTGAAAACAGGAAATCATATTCAGCATTAAACTTCAACTACCTGGATGACCAACAAATACGGACAGCGGATTTATGTAAACATTGAAGCCGTTACATTGTACGTATCGATGATAACCCTATTGTTCTTGGGTAAACATTCTGGCTAATTAACACTACTAAAGTCGGGCACTTGGTACATTTTCCATATTGTTGAACAAATATGAGTGTCCGTATATAGAATTGAAGATCACCTAAAGTTTGTGGTTCAAATAGATTACATGATTGATACTCTTTGTTAAAAACGACTCGTATGTCGTTAACGGTATACGTGAATTACCTTTACAGAGGCCAGAAACCTAATCTGTTATAGAGGTTGGACCCTCGGCACGATTTGTGTCCATAAATATATCAATCATTAGCAAACACATGGGATTCCATTGCATTTTACAAGTCTGTGACTCATGGTGATATTTTAGACACAATGGACATTTTTCATTGTTACCATCATCTATTGATATTTAAATAAAAACATCATTTATCGGATGTGACCTTCGTCATTGATTTCCTTTGTTGTCGATTTCTAATCTGAACACAATTTCCATTTAAATTTGTCACGAGAAAGTAATATCCACATAATGATAATATATGTTTTACCCGGCATAAGGACGCAAATCAAATGATTGAACAGTATCGAGTTGATCATGGGTGCCTAAAAAGATCCAAACTTACTGTAAAGTACTGTTACATGTAAGAAACATACTAAAGTTTACCTCGCCAAGCTACCTTACTAAGGAAATACTGAGGTGTATGCTATTCTTATACATTTGATATTCTAGATCTTAAGATGAGCAGAGAAATCCTGTTCAATCCGACACCCAGTAGTAGGATCCGAGAACTACTTGTATTAAATCAGGTGTTAGTATACACAGGGTTTTTTGTAATTTATATAAGAAATATGAGTTAAGCTTTTTGCTGGGTATGACAGGGTATCAGAAAACTGAAGGGACGGTTTAGAAACAGGTTTCACTTTAGTTTGTCATAAAATTGAATTTTCCTATTCCTCTAGAAAGGCGTTGGTATATTAGGTGTGCTCAAATTGAAAACGAACACCATTTAGCTACGAAATTCTCGATACATTCTGAAATTAGTTTTTTTTTATAGTAAATACTATTTCCGACCAAAATGGGGAAAAAATGTTGAACTGGTTCATCGGAGAACAATACTATAATTCAAAAATTAGCACTGTATATTGAGAAAAAAATGACATTATAAATTGTTTTCTCAAATTAAAAATCGATGAAAATAGTTCAATATATATTTAGCCTGTGATGTAAAACTTTGTTTGGGTGTTTTCCTGTGAACGTATTATGTATTTTTGAAATCTGTTGCCATCATTCATCTTTTACCGATGCCAAATCGTGAATATGTTGTAGCTTAAAAAGGACTCAAGTCTATTGCATATATCATGTTGTCACACAATATTAATATGCATCACTTGCAGTCTTAATCATAATTAAACAATGGATATTCTTTAATCTAGAAAGAATCATATAAGGGGGAAAATCTATAACCGATTAGAAAAGACAACTACAAAAACTGACAAGACACTAGAACAGAACTATACGAAGACAACATGAAAATACACGAACAGGTGTGACCAGGTGCTCCGGAAGGATAAGCGATTTTCAACTACATGATTATGTCATTTGACATGAGGTTTTCCGTCAAATCAAGGAGAAATTGTCCAGCACCAAACTTTTGTTTAAACAAATAACTATTTGGATTTTGAATATTTTGGAAGAATCGTCAACTTTAAGTGTATCAATTAGGTAGCAACTACACGTTATTATTTTGCATTATGTAGTTCAAATTTTTTTATTGTCAAAAACAAGTATTTATGCGATGTGTTTCGTTTGTTTATCAAAAATACAAAGTTCAACCGACAAATAAAATTGATGTCCGATAAGACACTGACTTAAATGAAAATGTTCAATTTCGTTTAGTTCTGCGTTCAAATGGACTCCCTGTTGTGAATTGTATGTTATGGTATATGTTAAACTAGTATCCAGATTTTGATAGCAAACTTCATATTATTATTGGATAGGTGTCAAATTTCGGCCAACATGTTATTTACGCCTGTGTTTCATAATCCGTTTTAACAATACTGTAAGATTATCCTACAGTCGTGCGAACAGAGGCAATCAATAACTACCCGGGGAACAATAGCCTGCGACGTCATGGCGAGTAACAGCGCCGCTTAGGATCGTAATGTTTATTAACAAAAGCCAGCTAGTCGTGTAATCAAAGGGCGGAGGCTGACATTTCAACTTTGTTCGTGTAAGACAATGACGCCCGTGTGAAGTATTGTTCGAGCCAATAACACGTTAAAAGATATGTTTAAATGAGTTGTATAGCTCGACGTCCCGGGATATACTGTTACATCTCGTCCGTGTATCGCCGATAACAATACCTCGTGAAAGAATTAATTGATTTTGGTTCATAAGCAAGCTTGGGTCACTGCATGAATTGTGCCGACACAATGTACTTCTGCTTTGTGTTGTTTAGATCACTGTAAACGTTGCCAGAAGTCCACACATATACCTCTTTACATTTCTATCGATTTAAGCATTTGTTCGACGATATATTGGTTCTGTGTGCATTTAACTGTTCAATATAACATGAACATCGACCAGACTTTTCCGTAAGATTTTTTTATTTTTTTTGAAAATTGCATAATCATATAATAATGGACTACATTAAGTATATTGTAGGTGGTGAAAGGGCGAAAGGCAGGAGGTGAAAGGGCGAGAGGCAGGAGGTGAAAGGGCGAGAGGAAGGAGGTGAAAGGGCGAGAGGAAGGAGGTGAAAGGGCGAGAGGAAGGAGGGCTAAGGGCGAGAGGAAGGAGGTGAAAGGGCAAGAGGAAGGAGGTGAAAGGGCGAGAGGCAGGAGGTGAAAGGGCGAGAGGAAGGAGGTGAAAGGGCAAGAAGAAGGAGGGAAAAGGGCGAGAGGCAGTAAGTGAAAGGGCGAGAGGAAGGAGGGGAAAAGGCGAGAGGAAGGAGGTGAAAGGGCGAGAGGCAGGAGGTGAAAGGGGGAGAGGAAGGAGGTGAAAAGGAGGGAAGAAGGAGGGGAAAATGCGAGAGGAAGGAGGGGAAAGGGCGGGAGGAAGGAAGGGAAAGGGCGAGAGGAAGAAGGGGAAAGGGCGGAGGGGAAAGGGCGAGAGGAAGGAGGTGAAAGGGCGAGAGGCAGGAGGTGAAAGGGCGAGAGGAAGGAGGGGAAAGGGCGAGAGGAAGGAGGGGAAAAGGGCGAGAGGAAAGAGGGGAAAGGGCGAGAGGCAGGAGGTGAAAGGGCGAGAGGAAGAAGAGGAAAGGGCGAGAGGAAGAAAGGGAAATGGCGAGAGGAAGAAGGGGAAAGGGCAAGAGGCAGGGGGTGAAAGGGCGAGAGGAAGGAGGGGAAAAGGCGAGAGGAAGGAGGGGAAAAGTTAATGGAAAAACAAACTGTATCCGTCACGTATAAGTATCCGTATTAACTGTTTCCTGATATCAATAGGGATATTCCAATTATCCTTGTCAAACCTTATAAACGTCCCTGGACGAGTCTATGATAACGTATACTTATATCAGTGAAGACCGTGCTTACAGTAGTCTAACATGTAAAGGCGGGGAAAAAACAAAAAATGAACAGCAAATATGTCCACAACAATGTCAAAATTAAAACGTCATGCACATTTTTAATGTATAATTAGTAAAATATGTATTAGAGTCACACGAGTTACTTCCCTTTTTACATGACCCTAACATATTCCTATGTTCACAATTTATAATCACCGGCATGCTTCCTAATACCCAAATCGATTTTACGATAACTGTAATCAGATAATCGTTTTTTTCAGATAGCTTTAGATTTTGTAATGTATCTCATTCCGCTTGACTCAAAGGACGTTATCTTGTAAACGAATATTTCGGCGGCCTCCCGCCACGCGGTGGACTCCTGCCCAACCTGTTCACAGCTTAATTATCGCCATCACAACATATATCAAACCGGTACCAAAGAACAGGGTGGAGTGTGGTCGGACACCCTCAAACACCCCGATGTGTATAACAGGTGGCTAGCCGTGACTTTAAAACTGTTTTTCATAACTTTATTATCGATTACATATTAAATGTTTAAACTCTGCTTGTAATTTGAGTGAACTTTGTTCAACTGAAGATAGGATTACACACACGGTCGAGTATAAAGTTACAGTAATGAGTATTAACTGAATACGCCATTAGAGCTAAAATATATCCTTACATTGCCAAAACATTTCGACATCTTGCTTCTCTATTACACATGAACTCTGGTATGCATTTGATTGTGTGGAGACCTGTCCTTTTGCCATTTGCCTTGCTCTTAACATATTTATTTCTCTTCTTTCGTAGTAGTTTGATCTCCCTTAAGACAGGGAGACGATCTTGTGTTCGATATCTAGGGTTCCAGGGCACATCCGGTTTATTCGCCCTCTATTTTCTTTCTTATTCATCGTCTGTTCTTATGATGATTAGCCTAGCTAGTCGGAACATCTAAAATCGATAATAAAACTACGGAATCTTCATGTTCAAGTTCAATCTTATATATCCTTGTATTTGTCGTCCTCACAGTTATTTCTGTTCCAGTATATGATCAATAAATTCATGGAATGATTGCGGAGTTCCATGTTATCAATTCATCTACGTGACCGCTCCTTACTGCAGCCTATTGTATGTTTATGTAAGATAGTAATAGAGAACATAGGATATCACAGACACAGTGATAGCACTGTTGATGAATATGATTCATATTTATGTATTATGTTAATAGTATGCCACACTGATTATAACTATTTATGATATAAATACCTTAACTAATAAATTACATGATATTGTGTACTTCTATCCCCTCATCCGATTTCAAGAAGAACAAACCTTGAGATCTATTGTAATATTTGTTTTTTCAATCTGAAATAAATGATTATATTTTTATATTTCTTCAAATTCATTGTATTTGTACCAAACAGTCAAATTAAAACATAAAACAAATTCCATCGTGTCAGTGGTGGATCATTACTCAAATAAAACAGATCACAGCAAAGAACGCCAACGTTATTATTATCCTAGATCTTTGTGGTAAATTATATAGACAAGAACACAGTGTCAATCATTTCAAAAGACACCCGTAAATACCTCACATCTGTATTCACCAAAGCCCAGTTTCTATTAAAATAATCTTTAGCCTAGCCTTTCCTGAAAGGAAATTTAAGCTCATGAAACGAACTTTGTTATATATATGAAACCCAATTTAGACATGTACTGTTACATGTACCTATGCGATCCTACTGTGTATATATTAGTGTAAACTGAATCTTTGTAATTCAAACAATGTCTATTAGGAACAGAAATATTGCGTCCAGTGGACAGGGTAGTATTTTTAATCATCATAGAAAGTGTTTATATGTAAGTGTACGTGTGTGTAGGAAGGCGATGGTTAAGATATTTACGTGTTTGTAGGCGTGTGCTTTGCTGGCGTGTGTATGATTGGAGGTGGTTTGCTGTTCGACACGATCAAAAAATACAGGCGGTTGAAATGATGGAGATGTTTTTCTCAATAGCACCTGCTCTTATCTCCAGCTCTTTTGCCTATTTCCTTTCTTCTTTTAGTATCTACATTTTACACATGACTTTCAAATTCCATTTTTCTTCAACTTTTAGGTGGATGTAAGCTAAATCGGCAAATATCCATTGTTAACTTGATGAGATAGCAGATACAAATTAAATCCAAATTTATTCCTTTTAAACTTAATTACAAATTAATGATCAGGCAATGTAAATATTTATAACGATCAGACCATGCCTATGTATTGTGTAGCATTGTACAAGCATTAAACGGGCTTTAAACACAAAACCCTCTATCCATAGTATGTATTAATTATATGTAGGGTCTTTATATTTTAATTACAACCCGACTAATTTTAATCATATTTCAAGTCCACAAAGTTATCACCCTACACTGTTCTCACAGGATTGCTACTTTGTGTCCACGTAAGTCAGCCCCTATTCATACCGGAATATGATACCCACGTGTGTTCTCGTGATATTTGATGCGCCGATACAATTCAAAAGAGGAAGACACAGATCCGTTAGATAAATGTATATATTTTATTATCTTAATCGTATAGTATTTGTTTTGTTTGGCAAAGCTCCAATATCACAGACTTCGATCGTAGGACAAAACCACCACATGTGAACCATTCGTCCTCTGCACATTCGACACATTCATCCTGTCTTATACCATTCAAAATATAGGGAAACTTAGAGTCTTTTGTATACAATACAAATAAACCGAGATATGTCGTTTCCTATTTAACATAATATAAATAACGCGGATGTCTTCCTTGACAGCCAGTAAACAAAGTACACATTAAAATAAATAAACAAGATTACTGAAAAAAACAAAACTAATAGCTTAACGAGTAAACATTCATCAAGTCAATGATATACACATTCAAAGTTAGAAAGCATTACATATCTAATGTCTTTAAGGAATGCAGTTCTCCAATACTGATAGGCAACTAATACAAATTGACAAATATTCAATGTTACTTTGTACAGCATTCCAAGGTAATAGTATAAATGAGAGAAATCGTACATTACATAATGGATTCCTTTCTGAAGCTCATATACCAAGACTCAAATGAGGCGTATTTTTCTTCTTTTCTTCAGTAACACGATTTGAAATAAAATATTGAAATCGTATTGCTTTTCCCCTTTCGGTAAAAACACGAATTCGATATCGTCTCGTGGGTGAGATTATCATATCCTTATGATTCGCTATTTTTACCTATGCAATTTAGTTTTAGAAATATATTAACCTACCGGATAATAATAATCTATAGTTTTGCAGATAACAGACTCAGTTTACAACGCTGTACCAGGAATTGTTTCCAAATATCTAACCTCGCTATGTGGCTAAGAATGCAATAAAAAATCTTATATAGGCTTATTTGAAACTTTCTTTCACGTTTGTGTAATTTCACAGTCGTTTTCCAACTCTTCTTTCTTCATTAGTGACTCTGCTTAGAATGTCAGAATTGATCAAGAACAACATCAGAGCCTCCTCTTATAGAAAACAAACATACCACAGCGTCAAAACAACACGTGACAAAGGAATTTTCGCTGAACAAATAAGACTTTTGTTACATCGCTGGTAGCCTTTTATAGTGTTTGTCTTTCTGTTTGTCTTTCTGTTTGATATATCCACGTTCCTGTTGTACTCTTCGTAGTAAATTTGAGTACTCTTTTGTTCCTGGTGTATTGACGCTGTTGTTTATGTTTACTTATAACAACAATACATATATTAATGTGAAGATGATTAAGGGGGCACGGTGTAATTTTCTGATAACACACCTCTATGAATATATCATGTTTAAAGTAAAATACGATATTCAAATTAATTTTGATCGAGTGTCCATTGAACTGTAGAATATATCGCATCATACGCGTGTACCCATTGTTGTGAACATATCAAAGAGTATTTGTGATATATTTCAACTAATATTCTATGGATCCATATCCATGTCGATGATCATTTTTAGTCAGCATCTTGCTTGATGACAAAGAAACGAAAATAATTGCAACCTCCTTGAATCTTTCCCTTTCCGTGTTTTTCACTTCATCTTGTTATGAATAAGATTTATAGTTAGAGCTATTATAATCTTCCAATATTCCTGAGAGATGCCACCGTCCCCTCGGTATGAAGTTCTTGTCAAACAATCCATAGATATCTGTACAATCGACACCATTATTAGCCTTTACTGCTGTCAGGATTCTGCGAGACGTGAGAAAACAGAATAAATATTCCAAACGTTCACGATACTATCCATTTGTGTCTTCTAACAGTTGCATGTATGATTTGGGGTCCGCCCCAGAGACCATCTTCTCTTTCTGTTCCTCCTTCTGCTGCATCTCCTCCACGTACTTCTTGACATCTCTTCTCGCCTGACGATTCTCATTGTCACCCTCAATCAGTTCACTGTGAATACGAAAAAACCTGATTACTGAATCATAAACTGTTTTATATTTAGAAAAAATCTACATTATGCTTATATATACGATGTATTTGTTTTAAATATAAATATAATAAATGTTTTAACAAAATTTCATTATCATATCCTTGATGTGTAACAGTTTAAAACTACCTGAAAATATTATCTTTAAGTATAGAGAGAATGTCTCGTAGACACTTTACATTAAAATAATTTAAATCGTTTTAGGTTCTTCTTCAAACAGTAAAGGTTATTAGAGTTCTTTTTACTCTTACATTACACAATATAAAAACACGCACCCATTTTAACATATTACGCATAATTGTTCTACGCCTTATATAATATGCAACACAATACACACACGCAAGAATACAGTAGGACCTTACATTACACAATATCATCAGACACAAAGTAGGACCTTACACTACACAATATCATCAGACACACAGGTGGATACAAACTTCACAGAATACACAAAATAATGAGTCAAGAGAGAGAGGAAATTTAAACAAATGTTTTCTGTCCACATCCATGAAAATAATTATGTTTAAACTTTTAACTACAGAATACAAACAGTGATGATGCATCGAGACATTACAGTACACAGTATACATGCATGCATTGAGACTTAACATTTCACTGCACACACACTTTAAAACTTATTTCATATGCACACAAGCTATGTCTATCATTACACGATTTCCATATACACTGTGGAAACTTACCTAAAGTCAATCTCTCCATTTCCGTCCTTATCCAAACGCTTCATCAGTTCATTGATTTCAGGGTCTGATAAATCGATCCCAGTTTTCTAAAGTTGAAAGATATATGAATTCAAATGCGTTATGACTTATCGAACTAACATAACACGGATACGTGCATGTACCGAAAGAAAAACATAGAACCATGATTTGCGAGCAGAGGTGAGATTCGTGGAATTCAAACGTGAAGTATAAATAAATTAAATCATTTTCCTTAATATCTCTTTGCAAAAGCTCTTATTAGAATGAAATACAAGTGTTTACAGAACAACAAATACCTACCCTGACACCTTCCTGAAGTTCTTCTAGCGATATGGACCAGCTATTGTCAGTGTCGAACTGTTGTAATAGATCGATCATTCTGTATCCTGCCTCCTCAACGAACCGCTTGAGCTTGTTGAGCGGGTCGTTATGCAGCTTTGCAACGGGATCGTCTTCCTTCCTCTTAGCTCGCGGCTGGTCGCTCAGCACTCCGCCAAACTTGATTTTGATAGGCCGTTCCTCTCTGAGCCTGTCGCATACTTCTTTGAAGTTTTTCCTTATCATCAGATTCTGAAAAGACACAGACAAGACCTTAGTATAGCTATAATAACGTTTACCCATTGGCTACTATTGGCAGGTTATTTAGAATACAGGTTTGATTATAGCCATAATATTGTCTTTGTACAAGGAACACATCAGAATATCAGTTTGGTCGCAGGAACACTTATATATCTCTACAAGTCTTGAATATTGTAACTTTGCCTATTATCTTCGCATTTTTACAAAAGTTCCACTTAATAGTAACTAATCATTAGTAATAAGAATATTTATCGCGTATAAATTAGGAATCCATACCCCGAAATCAAGCATCTTCAATGTTTTTGTTGTATTTCTCTCAACTCCAACTAGTACTGCATACCCTCCTTCTGCTGATAGAGGATTGAATCCAATCTGAAATAAACAAATAACATATTACTACTTATAAACGTAAATAACACTGAAAGTGATGAATGACAATTCAATGTTTACATACCGTGCATTATCTACGAATGACGGTATTAATAGTGTTTATATTGGTGAAACCCTTAGTTAAAATATCGACTGTCAACCTCCAACTTATTGGTGAAATACTATCTGTAATTGTGTATGGGGGATATCAACGTTGTCTGTTTAATAATAACAGCCACGTATTTCTGTAATACATCAAAACTTACATTCAACTCCTCTAGCGTATCATTGGTCTGTAGCCCGGCAGCGATGTGTGGCGTGCCCTCTAGAGGGATGCGGCAGTAACTGAGGTTTAACTTGATCAGGTATTTGTTTTCCTTAAGGGTTTCTTCCATCGCTTTTGCACCTTCCAGACCAAAACCGTTCATACTGATGTCGAAGTATTTCAGCCCAACATTTTCCTACAGCAAAACAAGTTGGCATCGTTAACTTATTTTCGACATAGACAAAACCCTCAACTAGGCCTTACTCTATATAATCTGGTAACAATTATAAATCAGGGCTTTGGCTAGATCTCACTCTGTATTTGCTATATAAAATTGTCCCGTATGAGCACGGAAAATACTTTAAAGACTTACAATTGTGTTGGTTTTGATATAGGGACCTATTTTAAGTATTTCTTTACATTATTTATATAAAAGCGTATCGTGATTGAATAATATTGATAACAAGACTATACCTAAAATATATTTTCCTTTTCCGTTTGAGTTTCCCTGATTATGTTTTGTTTTAGAGGAATGACACTTTTCGAGTGTTTGAAGGACACGAGAACAATTTCGTGTAATCCGGATAACCTCGATAAGTTTTTTCCCTTTGAACATTATTCATCTCCGGAAAACAAAGAGTCATGCCTCCCTAGCACAAGGGTAGTACAGTAATATATTACTGACTTACCCTCAAGGCCTCCACGATCATAACACATCCTTTAGTCTGGAAATGACACCAACTCAGATCAAGAGACTCAAGGGACACGTTTTCATTGAGGGCCATGGCGAACCACTCTGCCCCTTTCTCTTCGAAACTGTTGTGTTGGAGCAGCAGCGTTTTTATGGCAGCGTTTCTCTGTAGATACAACGACATGGGTTAATAAGTCTGTCAAGTTATCTTGTAGATTTATAAGTAATTACATTTTCTTTTTCAGTTCTATTACTCTGTTTTATAACGACTCAACGATTTATTTTAATAATGACGACAGATTCTACTTCCGAATATGAATTTTTGAGAAAATACAGTAAACCCTCGTTATGCTGCCACAAATTGTCCAAAGACATGTTGGAGTGATAAAGAGGTTTGAAAATAAATTGCGGAAAACGTTTAAAGAAATTCTTAAGAAACAAACAAGAAAAGGGACATTGAAATATGTTGGCGGTAAACCAGGTGGAAAATGAAACGACGGGTAATATAATGAGGTTTTACTGTATATGATTTACAAAATGACAATTCAACGTAATTGTCATATTCCATTGTCCATGACAAGGCTGAATAGTTTTTGTACATACATCGTTCACTGCTAACGTGGTGAGACTTTTGCTGTTAAATACGTTTATGTTACTTTCCATGTTTGGGATTTGTGTATCTTATTTTATATATTTATTAACTTACTGTCAGCATTTCGTAGAAGTACTCAGCCGCAGTGTCCTCGATATCGTTTCCTATGCATGATATATTATAATTATGAATAACATGATACGTTTGAATTAAATGCCAAACGATTTACGACATAAAATTATATATAAGAAAACTGCAATTTAAAACTTTAAGTTGCATGTTACTGATTCGCAAAACATGTTTCAGATGTACTTCCACCAATTATCGTTTGAATGATGTATTAAACTATGTTTTGTCTTAAATTGTATTCACGCAAAGCACATGTCATATGTAGCATCTCTGTATCGATCAAATTAAACTTAAATATTTTACCACTTTAGTAATTGTTATTTACCTGACAGATTCAGGTGTATAATTGTCTTGTTCTCACTGAGAAGTTCACATATTGCTTTGGCCCCTTCGGTGCCCATCTTATTGTCCGTTAGCACCTGTTAAAAGAAACCATCGAAGTCAGTACGTGTCTACACCTCGTAATACAAAGGTTTACCATGAAGTCGATCGCTTATCAATGTTCACACATATCATATATCTTACACATGAATGTAAGAAAAATCACTTACAAATCAATAAACATACAGGTATTTATTTGCAATAAGGTATCAAATTAATCAACGAACGGACAAATTATTCTGATAAATACATTCCTATATTGCCATAATTTGTATCCTCATTTGATCAGACGTTAGATAGAATTACACCACTTATTTAAAGTGTACATAGGAACTCACCAGTTCTGTTACGTAAACGTTTTCCTTTAACACCCTAGTCAAGTGCGATGTGCCCTCTCCCAGTATGTAGTTGCCTTCCAGGTCTATCTTTTCTAATATTGTGTTTATCTGTACAAAATAGAGTGGAGCATATCACAGATTCAGCAACCAAAATGACATTGCTGTGAAAACGACCAGATTTACAGTACAAAACGTCATGAATATGGTCTTAATTTTGACATAAAAATGGGCAATATGGCATCATCTATAGACATACATAACAAGACTCTGCGTATAGTTTATTGAATTCACTACATCAACAGCTGTAGGTGATATGAACACGTAATGCGTATGAAACACCAACAGCCGTAACTATTATAACCATTGACAGCCATAGATAACTTAAACTCACTTATAGTCTAACTATTATAAGCATTGGCAGTCATAAGTAACAGCACATCTTGTACATTGTAATGAGTACAAAATACCAGCAGTCATAGACACAGGACCCTGTGTATAGCGAAGTGAGTATAAACCATCAACAACCATATATAGCAGGGCTTTGTATATCGAGTAAAGTGTGTATTGTATAAGTACAGTAAAATGGGTATCCACATTCAATAACCATAGCGAAGACCTAATTGAATATAGTGAGAAACGTTTTTAATATCACCAATCATGACCAACAGGAACAGAACAGTGGCCGAATTATGACATGGAATGGAGAATTGTGGCACATTTGTACTAATATCATTATGGGCATATGTTTCACAGCTTCTAACTGAGCTGATGTGTAAGAGCTGATCTTACATATCCATTGCGGTATGTAAGATCAGCTCTTACACATGTTGGTCTGCTAGAATGTGTGAAAGGGTTTTTTGTTATTTTCTTATGTCAATTTAATGACCCACAAGTTTTAAAGAACATTGACAGGGCTACAAATGACGTCACAATGCCTTGCAACATTACATTCGCATTGGCACATTATAACTTATAATGGCTCTCCCTATCTTAAACATGGACTGTGTGCGGGGGAAAACTAGGATCATTAGTATTAGCAGTAAAAATGTTGGTACGCAGATGAGTTGTTTTCCTTCAGTAGTTGATCTTTTAATAATGCCAGGAATCGGTTAACTTATTGTTTTAAAAGACGTTTCTTCACTCGTTTTCATGTAGTATCAACGAATATAGACTTAGCCAAAGCTGATTATTGTAATATCACTGTAGTGAACACGATAACGAACACAAAGTATTGGTCTTACATACCATTAAAGACTCGGCCATGGCCTTCATGCCTATCGGTCCAAGCCCGTGAAACTTCATGACGAGTTCAGTTTCCGACATGTGTTTGATGAAGTAGGTGGCCGGCTGAATACCCATATCTTCACATATCTGTAAGTAACGGCCTTTTGGTGTCGTGTCTTCTTCCTTTTCCTTTTCTGTACCTGGCATTTCTGAAAGTGTAGAAACACAACACATGATGACTGTCCCAATCTCGACATTGATACCACATACAGGATTGTCATAGGTGTAAGAATAAGCAAAGCTATGTTCGAAACGGATATTGTTTTATGTTTTCATAAACGTATATTCTGACACATCTATCTCTTTTTTGATGTCATGTTGTCATAATGCTAACGGTTCGTGGCTTATAACACGGTGATGGTAATGCCGTCATACAAGTTATTTATCTCGAATAAATTTATATTCATACAAACAAATTGGTATTTCTTTATACTTTAGCAAATTTCAGTACACAAATACTCACTGGTGAGGTCCTCCTCGAGGTCCGTGTCGTACTTTTCTGCATCATCGTCTGGATTTGATCCTAATGATGACACTGATATGACATCCTCACCAAACACATCTTCAATATCATCGTCTATATTAGATTCCTCGTCCGACGCTTCCGTTTCTTGCCATCGTTGTACGATGTCAAACTCTCCATCTGCATCTGGCAATGGTATTTCTGTTTGAAATATACCATCGGTAAATTCTAAATCATCATCCGGGTCAATGTCAATAGCCTTCCTATGGGCTAACTCTCGTGTAGGAATACGCACATCCTTTGTGATCGCTTTGAGACGAGTCAGATCAGTAATTAAACCTGCGGCATCCTTTTCGGACATGCGCGATGTACTTGCCACACTGACGGCGCTCCCAATACGGGAACCCGCCTTCCTGATCGTCTCTGTCTGTCCTCCATCTTCCAAACCTTTTGAGAGTTTGGTGGAGGACGGGAGACGAGGCGGCTTGACAAGAGTTGGTCTTCCAGCGGATCCAGTCCCCGGCATTTGTGCATTTGTTCACTGAGAACGGACGCAGATATTGGTATTGTATATGTCACATTTGGAACTGAAAATAACAACAGCGCAGTTTTATATTTGTTTCCTTTTGAATTGATATTACCTTTAGTTTTTTTGTTTAATTCATCGAATACTTCTTAGAATAATATGAATGATGATTTAACATTATGTGATAGACATGAACATACAAGCACATATTTCGTGAGTTACTTTTTCATTTCTGTAAGTGGTTTTTTTCCATAGACTACGCCATAATGTGACATCAATCAAACGTGTTCATTGTGCCACAATTACGCCCGGCAAAACACTAGCTTATTCCACTCTAGTTGTTCAAACATACAGTGTGACTTGGTGTAGTATCCCAGCTGGTCACAGCGACAGTAGTCTAAAATTTAAATGGTCTGGCACCACTGCATCTTTACACTCAGATCATCATAGATATAATACATATTACAGTATAGGCTCCTTTCTGTCCATTTCAATTTTTTTTATTAATTTTTCATTGTAGTACCACAAAGTATGTTATAGTATGCTATGTTTTTCCATAGGTACTTTTGTAGTGTCACAAGGATCCGTGAAGAACAATACATATGATAATAATAACAATCAAGCTGAATTGTAGAGCTACCATGATGAAGTAGTTCCCATGGTGGATTCTTCCATTAGAGAGGTGAATTGTAGAGCTACCATGATAAAGTAGTTCACAGGGTGGAATATTCCATTAGAGATGTGAGGTGTAGAGCTACCATGATAAAGTAGTTCCCAGGGAGGAATATGTAGTTCACAGGGAGGAATATTCCATTAGAGAGGAGAATTGTAGAGCTACCATGATAAAGTAGTTCACAGGGTGGTATATTCCATTAGAGAGGTGAATTGTAGAGCTACCATAATAAAGTAGTTCACAGGGTGGAATATTCCATTAGAGATGTGAGTTGTAGAGCTTCCATGATAAAGTAGTTCCCAGGGTGGAATATGTGGTTCACAGGGTGGAATATTCCATTAGAGAGGAGAATTGTAGAGCTACCATGATAAAGTAGTTCCCGGGGTGGAATCTTCCATTAGAGAGGTGAAATGTAGAGCTACCACAATAAAGTAACTCCCATGATGGAATCTTCCATTAGAGAGATGAATTGTAGAGCTACCATGATAAAGTAGTCCCCAGGGTGGAATATGTAGTTCACAGGGTGGAATATTCCATTAGAGATGTGAGGTGTAGAGCTACCATGATAAAGTAGTTCCCAGGGAGGAATATGTAGTTCACAGGGAGGAATATTCCATTAGAGAGGTGAATTGTAGACCTACCATGATAAAGTAGTTCCCAGGGTGGAATATGTGGTTCACAGGGTGGAATATTCCATTAGAGAGGGGAATTGTAGAGCTACCATGATAAAGTAGTTCACAGGGTGGAATATTCCATTAGAGATGTGAGGTGTAGAGCTACCATGATAAAGTAGTTCCCAGGGCGGAATATTCCATTAGAGAGGTGAATTGAAGAGCTACCATGATAAAGTAGTTCACAGGGTGGAATATTCCATTAGAGATGTGAGGTGTAGAGCTACCATGATAAAGTAGTTCCCAGAGTGGAATCTTCCATTAGAGAGGTAAATTGTAGAGCTACCATGATAAAGTAGTTCCCAGGGCGGAATATTCCATTAGAGAGGTGAATTGAAGAGCTACCCTGATAAAGTAGTTCCCAGGGTGGAATATTCTATTAGAGAGGTGAATTGTAGAGCTACCATAATAAAGTAACTCCCATGATGGAATCTTCCATTAGAGAGATGAATTGTAGAGCTACCATGATAAAGTAGTTCACAGGGTGGAATATTCCATTAGAGAGGCGAATTGAAGAGCTACCATGATAAAGTAGTTCACAGGGTGGAATTTTAAATTAGAGAGGTGAATTGTAGAGCTACCATGATAATGTAGTTCCCAGGGTGGAATATTCCATTAGAGATGTGAGTTGTAGAGCTACCATGATAAAGTAGTTCACAGGGTGGAATTTTAAATTAGAGAGGTGAATTGTAGAGCTACCATGATAATGTAGTTCCCAGGGTGGAATATTCCATTAGAGATGTGAGTTGGAGAGCTACCATGATAAAGTAGTTCCCAGGGTGCCATGGTGGATTCTTCCATTAGAGAGGTGAATTGTAGAGCTTCCATGATAAAGTAGTTCCCAGGGTGGAATATTCCATTAGAGAGGTGAATTGAAGAGCTACCATGATAAAGTAGTTCCCAGGGTGGAATATTCTATTAGAGAGGTGAATTGTAGAGCTACCATGATAAAGTAGTTCCCAGGATGGAATATGCATAATGCAATTCCATTAGAGAGGTGAATTGATGGGAATGCTAGAGAGGCTGATTTCGGGGATGTGTTCAATGAAACGCAACTGTTGGCCATTGCTCACCTACAGCAACGAGTCGTTACACTGTAGTTTTAATGTTCTATATTTAAAAATTGGTATTGAAAAAGTATGTTATGAAGATCAATTTGATTAAGTCAAAACAATAGAGTCAAGGTGTAATTATTCAATTTAAATAAGATCGCTTTACGATATAAAACCCTTTTTATTATTATTACATCGTTTGCATATATTATTCAATTACAGCATATTATAAATAAGAATATTTTTCATTTCGACGAGAAGCAGAAAACAAGCGGCCTTCATTACCATGTTTCCGGTATATGGTTTCATGTCCAAATGTAAATGATCGACAATTACCCCAACACGTCACCATTTCAATTGTAAAACCATGACAAAGCATATTTTGTTTTGTACACCTGTCTACAGAACATTTTCATTTTGCGATGCCTTGGCTAGCATTTTAACTCATTTATCTCTGGTTGGCATCTGTCATATGTCTAAACTAAGTTCAAATCAGGCCTACATATATGTCCTCAAATGCAAGACAAACTTTTGATTCTTTCCCAAAACATTTATATACTTGTAACTCTATCTACCTCCGAATTACGCCATGTTCTAGTTTAGATGATAGGTATATATTAACTAATCCGAATTCCAATACAATTTCTGTATATCATTGTGACTTAGTCCAAGTCCCTGTACACGCAGTTGGTCTAAGGTGAGATATACCAACTAGAATTGAACTGCGCAGGCGTGACGTCCGCGAGGTAGTTCCAAATGACTGCTCATCTATTCGGCACCCGTATCCCGCATTGATCAATAGACATGTCTGATTAAGTGTAACGTGATGAGAATCGTATATACCTTTAACTGATATTTATCTCCTGTATTGTCTCGTTCATATCTCGTACAATTGTCCGTATGATACCTTACAAGTTACACTTATAAAGGAGGGCGTCCACGTAATACATAATGTAAAACTAACTATGATCATCCTCTTTCACTGCAATGTAATATCTGCTAAAATATTAGTAATTTATCCCAATGTTCAAGATTTGTATTACTGCTTACAGCCATACACGAATCCATTAGTATAATACAACAAAGTGAACAAGGTTAATTATTGTGGTGAAACATTATCATATTTGCTTTTTAGTCCAAATGTTTCAACATAAAATAAATTGATACAAACATCTGACCTTCTCCTGCCATGTACGTGAAGAACACTCATGTAAACTCACCTATAAAACAGCTTGATATCTTTTTTCATCACATCTACTTAAATATAGACGAGGCTTGTTCTAGATATGATGTGTGTGAACCTAGATGTTAGCTCCCCTCGTTAGGATACTATCTTAGTCAACCTGGTATCCTGCCATACAGTAAAAGATTCAATGTATATAAAGAGACGTTATGTTAAACAAAACATGAACATAGATCGGAGCCCTGATATTGGTGAGCTTCATTTAGTCCTAGACATTATTAGAAAAGAAACATTATACCTTGATTAGTGACTGCGATAACTAGAAAGTTAAAAACTCAATTCTAAAGAATATCAAAAGTTACCTACAGTATTCATTATTTCAAAACGTGGTTACTTAAGTCACCAATTATAACGTCCAATTGTGTGTCCGTTTAATATATAAGTAAACTGATAGCATTGCATAAGCCCTTCCTTTGATTCCTCCATAGGCTCAAGCAATACAGGAAGAAACACACGTTCGTCAAAACGAGAACATGTGTGTCACATACGTACTTCATTTATGGTTTTCATTAATTTTGATACGAAATTTAAATGTACACACATCAAAACGTAAAAATACATTGATAAAGCGCATGGAGGACATTAGTTAATTATGAAATGTGACGGTTAAATGGACCGTTTTTAAACGATATCCATATCTGAGGAGAGAACGGCATACCTTAACATTGATAGCATTTCATTCAAATATATATATATGGTAATTCTTCGAAATAGATTGCTAATTTAAGTTTGATTACACCAGTTAACAATGTTCCGTGTGTTACGGTGACAGTTGTTCGTTTATTCTGTCTGATTTTGTGTCAAAATCGGTTACTAAACATTGTAACATTCGAACAAAATCTCAGTCATTTACATTCCAGTTTGAAATTGATATTATACAAAATATATGTGTAATGGCCAATTGATGAAGATTCTCTCTATATATAAACACACAAATGAAAGGATGTTTCCTAACTACGACTTGCAAGATTGTTTAATTCTGCTGTAATCACTTCTAGATATATTTTTATAATGCATACGACATCAGCTAACCCCTGGTAACATACTCCAGAGGACATTGGAAGTAGGTGCAGGAGTAGCTACATCACCCAATGAACTTTCAATTTAGATACGAATCAGCAAATTTCACTTAAGCAACTCCTTTTGAAAATCCTGAACCTGTAATAAGCACACATAAGTGTCTTGTATATTTAAAGTTAATCAGTAGGGTAAAGTAGTGTAAAATATGTACGCTACTGTATACAATCAATGACTACATACTTTTCCAATACATGTATAGAAATACGATAATATCAATTTGAGGAAAAATTCATTTCTATAACTACAATGATTAATCTCGAAAAAAATATACTCACAGAACATACGGGAATCTTCAGTAAAAATAGTTGAGACGCCATTTTCAAATCCGTTCTATGCTATTCATTTAAAACACACATTAATACAAATGTACCACATGTATAATGAACAGTTCGCCCGGATGTGCGACGTCACGAATACATGTCGCCATGACAGTGCATGCTAGAAGCTAGCTTACCAGCCTACTAGCCCTATTCCTTTGTAGTGTGTTCGGTGGTCGGTCAACAATGCCCTTTATTGAATAGACACCTTTAACTGAATGGACGTATTGGAAAAGAATCGCTAGAATCATGAAGATATGTCACAATATGTATTGATATCATTGTTCTCTAAGTAATGCTATTTGGCACAAGTCAGTCCTCAATGCAATGAGAAGTTGGAAACAATGTAAATCCATATGACTATAATGAGTTACATGTGGCGGAGTGTCCAATCCTTCCAGGTTCAAACAATACAATCGGCAGTCTCTCAATTTAAATTGTAGTTAATACTGCCACTACTATTTAAATATCTCATACACATTAGTCCCTATTGCACTCAATACACTTGATTTATTGCACTGCACATAAACAGGACATAATAAATGCTACAGCTTCGGGTAGCTACATGTCAAAGATGTTATTGGATACACAGAAATTAAAAACAAACAATTTCATTTTCACATTTAAACGATTTACATAGGTTACAAAGTAATCAATGGGAGAGATCAGATTTATTTCGAAGTTATCCAAATTCGTTTAGCTACCGGTTGGGATACGTCGATTGTCTATTTGAACGTATTGTAGTTTGTCTTCAATTTGAATTTAAATTGGAAGATTTTTTTATTTATTTGAATTTAACCGATATGGTAACGATTCAGTAACTTGTATAATGAATGTGCTAAGGCCTATTTAAATTATGTCGAGTATCACAATACTATTTGTCGAAAAAATGTTGATACAAACATACGAAGGTTTAAAGTTTCCATTCAAGAAATGTGATATTGGTATATAGGCATGTCGTCTTCGTACCATATATGATAGACAATGTCAAAACTAAATGACTCGCCAAATTTAACATGAAAACCATAGATAGATAAAATCCTAATTACTCACCAGCGTGTGACTGACTAAAAACCGACTACAGTGTAAAAAGTCTTACGTGACTCGCCTGCTGTAAGTTAAAACTTCATTTTCCAATTAGTTTAAATTACGTGTGATGTTTCTTGATCTGCCATTACATAGATGCATTTCATTAATTACTTCATTAACACTTTAAACTTACTATTAAATCATCTGAACAGAATCCGACTGGTCTGGCAAAGAAAAGTATAAAGGATCGGTGTGTGCCTGATTAAATCACTGAATGGATTGAATGAGTTATCAGGGAAACACTGCAAATCAACTTATTTTATCCACATTGAATGAGTTAGAAGGGGAACACTGCAAATCAACTTATTTTATCCACATTGAATGTATCATTAACCGATAAGAAATATTACCGGATCAGAATTTGGAAAAAAATACTAGAAATACGACGTCACCCTTTCTCAAGCCACTCCTGTGTACCCTTTGGCTGCAACCCTTCCTACCAATCCTTACCCTTGTCTTACCAACTTCACATGTTCCCGAACCATAACCTCGTCCCTGCAAACACCTACCGAGATCATCACCTACGCTACAATTCCCTCGGAACTATCTACCTTTCCTTTAATTTTTCGAACCTACATCCCTCTTCATTCTCTCCCGAGAAATTTTACTTCACTTAGTATCAACAATTATCGACCTGTACGAAAGCATTTCCAAAAATCCAATTCGCAAGGATTTCAAAAAGCTATTGAATGTAATGCTTACTATATGTTGTTTAAAGTTTTGGTAAATACCATATTTATTTGTGATATGTTTAATTCAAGTTGACCTCCCTTGCGTCCCATTGACATGCCCTGTCTTTCATGCCCATCTACCTCTTTCCCACTATTTATAGGGCATTGTCGCTAGAACGTTATAGTAGGATAACCGAACTACTCGGTAGTGAAGCGGACGTACAACCTATCAATCAATCAATCTAGAACGTTATTCATCGTCCGCGACTTTCTTGGCTTGTCAACCCCTGAAACTGTCCCTTCAAACTGCCATCCATCCGTCTGTCTTTCCGATATGTCACTATCATCTGTCTTTCTGACCCCTCATCCGTCCTACTATCTCTTTGTCCTATTATTTGTCTGGCTACCCCTCCAACCTGTCACCTCTACCTCGTCCCTACGACCTGTACACCTGTACCCCACTGTCCTGCCAACTTTTAACTCATTTCCACTGCCCACCCGACCGTTTACCAAATATTCCTGTCCCTACCACCCTTACTTTTCAAACGTAGCAAACATCTCCTACTATCCCTTTTTCCCTCCTATGCCACTGTTTTTCCGTCTCGTCCCCGCCACAACGACCCTCGCTCTTCCTATCCTCTGTATCGTCCCGCCAGACCAGAGCTTCCTATACACTGTATGTACATTTGCCTTACATACAAGAAACATTATCTTCAATAGAAATCATTGGACTAAGTGGTGTAAATAGAACAAAAAAAGAATAGAATATAATAAATAAAGAAAATAAATGTATGCCGTGATCTATGAGTTTATTGTAGCTACAGATGAGATGATACGATAACATTTATTATGGTTTGACTTCCATGACAAATTTAGTGATGTTATTATTATATGTAGGTGGAGAGGACGACGTCAGTCAGCTGCAGCACCAGCGGTCTGTTTACCTGTATGGGGGATATTAAAACCAATCCATCGTTATCGACAGACAGGTGTCTACATTGTAAGATCGATGTACATTTATTTATTGAAGTATTTTAATGACCAGGAACATGTTTGATTCATTTGATCTTCCTAATTGGCAATACAAATGGTAACACAAATGTCTCAGCATTTAATTAACCAAATATGATAACTTAATTATTGATTTAAGGCAGAACAAGATATCTTATGCCGAGTAAATATGTGTTGACGATAGTTAGGTGTTAAAAACCATGCATGCTTTTTACGTAATATTGATTATAGACCAGGTGGTTTTAACAGAAACAAGCTGATTAATAGTGATGATCAAACAACACTTACCCTTCAGGGGACTGAAAAGACGATAAAGACACATTTCAAATAAATATATGAATATTTACACAAATTTTAGAAGTTATTGTTTTTTCATTTCATATGAAAATCGACATTTTTTACATGGAGTAAATAAATGTCGACAGTATCTGATTGTTCGTATTGTGATAAATCTGAAGCGTTATTATCACGTCGGCTATAAGACCTCATGATTGTTTACCTGTCGTTACACGTTGTTTGATATTAAGATCACTTTCCTGTATTGTAAACACATTGCCAGTTTAATATCACGATAACTTACATGTAGTATTAACACATTGCCAGTTTAATATCAGGATAAAATACATGTTGTATTAACACTATGTAAATTTAATATCACGATAACTTACCTGTAGTATTAACATGTTCTCAGTTTAATATAACGATAACTTACCTTTAATATTAACACGTTGTCAGTTTAATATCACGATAACTTACCTGTAGTATTAACACGTTCTCAGTTAAATATCACGATAACTTACATGTAGTATTAACATGTTCTCAGTTTAATATCACGATAACTTACCTTTAATATTAACACGTCGTCAGTTTAATATCACGATACCTTCCCGGTTGTATTACACGTTCTCAGTTTAATGTCACGATAACTTACCTGTAGGATTAACACGTTGTCAGTTTAATATCACGATACCTTCCCGGTTGTATTACACGTTCTCAGTTTAATGTCACGATAACTTACCTGAAGTATTAACACGTTCTAAGTTTAATATCACGATACCTTCCCTGTAGTATTAACATGTTCTCAGTTTGATATCACGAAATAATATAACGATAACTTACCTATAATATTAACACGTTGTCAGTCTAATATCACGATAACTTAACTGTAGTATTAACATGTTCTCAGTTTGATATCACGAAATAATATAACGATAACTTACCTATAATATTAACACGTTGTCAGTTTAATATCACAATAACTTACCTTTAGTATTAACTCGTTGTCAGTTTAATATCACGATATCTTACCTGTAGTATTAACACGTTGTCAGTTTAATATCACGATAACTTGCATGTTGTTTTAACACGTTGTCAGTTTGATATCACGAAAACTTACCTGTAGTATTAACTGATCTCAGTTTTATATCACGATAACTTACCTGTAGTATTAACATGTTCTCAGTTTATTATCACGATAACTTACCTGTTGTATTAACACGTTGTCAGTTTATTATCACGATAACTTACCTGTAGTATTAACACGTTGTCAGTTTAATATCACGATAACTTACCTTTAGTATCAACATTATCTCAGTTTAATATCACGATAACTTACCTGTAGTATTAACATGTTCTCAGTTTAATATCACGATAACTTACCTGTTGTATTAACCCGTTGTCAGTTAATATCACGATAACTTACCTGTAGTATTAACACGTTGTCAGTTTAATATCAGGATAACTCACATGTGGTATTAACACGTTGTCAGTTTAATTTCACGATAACTTACCTGTAGCATTAACATGTTCTCAGTTTAATATCACGATAACTTACCTGTAGTATAAACATGTTCTCAGTTTATTATCACGATAACTTACCTGTTGTATTAACACGTTGTCAGTTTAATATCACGATAACTTACCTATAGTATCAACATTATCTCAGTTTTATATCACGATAAATTACCTGTAGTATTAACATGTTCTCAGTTTAATATCACGATAACTTACCTGTTGTATTAACACGTTGTCAGTTAATATCACGATAACTTACCTGTTGTATTAACATGTTCGCAGTTTAATATCACGATAACTTGCATGTCGTTTTAACACGTTGTCAGTTTAATATCACGATAACTTACCTGTAGTATCAACATGTTCTCAGTTTAATATCACGATAACTTACCTGTTGTATTAACATGTTCTCAGTTTAATATCACGATAACTTACATGTTGTATTAACATGTTCTCAGTTTATTATCACCATAACTTACCTGTTGTATTAACACGTTATCAGTTAATATCACGATAACTTACCTGTTGTATTAATACGTTGAGAATTTAAACTCATCATCGCATACCTGTTGTAAATATTTACTTTTCTATCTTATGATCACTTACCTGTAGTAATAACACGTTGTCTGTTTTATATCATTATCACTTACATAAGGTATTAAAATGTTGTCTGTTTCATATCAAGATCATTAATTTGTTGTATTTACACGTTTTTCTGTTTAATATCAATATCACTAACCTGTTGTATTTACACGTTTTTCTGTTTAATATCAATATCACTAACCTGTTTGTTTAAACGTTTTCTGTTTAATCTCATGATCACTTACCTGCAGTATTCAGACGTTGTCTGTTTAATTGCATGTTCACTGTTTAATTTCATGATCACTTACCTGTAGTCAATCAGTCCCTCACATGCTATACCTTCCAAGAAAGTTGTCAAATTGTCACCTTGTTTTTCGGATAGTTCTACTCCTGCACTCTAAGGTTAACATAATATAAGGCATATCACCCTCTGTTAACATTACCTTCACATGATCAAACATAAAAAGTATAGCAAGGGGAACAACATGACGCATATGTCATTAAAAGCAAACTTCATATACATCTCAGCTGTCCATCAATAATGAATGTCAGCTGCTTTTGATCTGCCAATGAAGTTATAAGAGTATTACCATCCTTGCTTCATATAGTGACTTACAGGACTTAGAACAGGGAAAGTGATTAGGATGACATCCTGTTTACATCATAACTGCACGAACAAAGGCTGTGGGGAGTACAAGATGTTGATTTAAGGGTAAAGTGTTAGTTTACGTTGGTGAAGTATTGTCAGGATCTACCTTTAAACCATGGTGTGCAAATCGTTCTTCAGTTTTTGTTCAATTTATCCAACATAAATATAAATCATAACTTTTCTGAATAGATTCAAAAGTAAAACGTTTTGAAACAAGCAAGTCATGCAAGTCCCAGTTAAATATTGCAATTTATAATGAAAACAATTTAGAACTTAACGTCTTGGTAAGTTAACGACGATTCGAACAACTGGACCCCGATTAGTAAAAGTATCTGCTTAAATGACTATTTGTTGTTATAGCTAAAACTAACACATAAAATATCATTCAGTGTAAGACTAAATATTCATGGTAATAAATTGTAGAAAAAGTGTTTATTACATATTGTACTGTGTTATCCAGTGAATATTAACCCATGTAATATGACCAATCAGCCCTGTGATTGCTTATAATTGTTTCAATTATGACGTGACGCCTAGGACAAGCACATGGCGTCAAAGAATTATGCAGCGGAGTCAAAATGGCGGCTTTTTACATTTCAAGGTTGCATGAAAATTGTTGTTTCACACGAATAAATGCCACAAATCTTTATTATGTAATATAAAGGACCTTACTCTCGTTTTCATTCCATATGAAATGGAAACTCATGTAAGATCCTATATATAATATCAACATTTAATACTAAATGTCTATATCCGTACGTATCTACTTTATAATGAGGCAGAGATAGTCAGATAGCGAAAACTAAAAGGAAATAGATGTCGTTAATTTGCGATCTTATGTGTAATTCAAACAACTTTTCACTATTGTAAATTAGTCATCAATATCAGCACCAGTATCGCCTGAATATCGGTGGAATCTAGATGGGTTTGGCTATATATTTACCTGTATGGCTTCTATAAAGTCGTATGATGACAGCATGCCCTCCTTGTACTTGTCGGCATTGAGGAGAGACTCGTACAGATTCACATCGTTCTCCTCACAGTATTTCTTCATTAAGGCCATGATCATATCGGATGAAACCAGAGAGAGTGGTGTTCCGAACAGGTACTTGTCTACCATTGATAAAAAAAGATTATATCAATGATTGATTGGAAGAGGTCATAAAGTTACCGTTGTTATAATAAAACAATAGTGTTAGCATCGCAATCAAAACGCAACGGTTGCTGGCTAATTTTCTCAGGCAATCATCAATGATACATACCTAAATACCAACGCAATGCTATCATGTATACATCTTACCAGTCCCGTACGGCCGGGACGCTAGGATGTCTGGAAGGGAGGAGGATTTCATTACTTCTGTTATTGTTTTAGAAATAAAATGTAGCTTAAATGTTTCTAGTTGAGTTGGCTTCGTTTCCTTACCAGGCTTCTTTCTAAGGGGTATATCGTAGTCGCTGAAAACTGGCGCCCTCAGTACGGTCACTTCTCTCACTAAGCTCTGCTCTAGAGTCCGGAAATCCTTATCTACCTCTATACCCTGGAAGGATACGGACAATCAATCATGCACAAACTTTATGTATTGTTTATCTTTTATTCTATATCACAAATATTAGTGCATACTGTTTGGAGTTAACCTTACAATATCTCCAAATACTTCTTGTTTCAATCAAGATTAAAATGTTGTATATCATAATTTTTTTCAATGCTTCCAAAAATATTATACCAGCGGCGTTTTGGAGAACTTGTTGAAAACATCTTTACTACTTGTTTTAAGGTGATAGTAGTGGGGTGATGACTATCGATTTTGAAGTTTGTATATATATATATATATATATATATGGACACATTGGACAGAAGTAATGATGGCACATCTCTTATAAAATGTACACGAATGCTCAAAACTGCTAAAAACTGTAACCATTGAAAATGTTCACACTTTTACAGGCCACATCACAAAGAAAACTCAGGAGGTTTAAGACACGACCGGTTTGTACAATGGTATGGCAGCATACCGAGCCCACTGACAAGTTTCCTTCTATCTAAGTTCTGACTCACCGATAAATCCAGCGTTGTGATGAGACTGTTTTCGTTGTTGATACCTCCGAGTACAGCCTTAGCACCCTCCGCTCCTATAGGGTTGTTGGCCATCTTTATTCAACAGCAACGTTAAAAGTCATATAGACTTGACATTTTTTTCCATCTAAATGTTCTATATATAGTTTGATACGAAACATTTGATCTCTTTAATTTCTGTTTTCTACCATGTTAGATGCATACAATATCCCGAACAGTCTAATTATACTCAAAAGCATCAACACGACCTATCATCACCTAAGGAAGCACTCGTCGTCAAGCATGAATTATCTACAGTAAACCTCCGACAGTGGGGACTTTCCTACTGCAGATTGTTTTGCTCTCGAGGATTTTACCAATAAACATGATATCGTAAAGGGATGGCAAGAACGTCACAATTTGAGTCAGCTTATAAAATGTTTGACATAAGTGCAGTTTAATTGTCATTAACCACAATGTGAAACTGATACTGAAGATGTCTAAATCAAGTTTAAGCTTTGTTCGAGTGTTTTACATGATTTATATATATTGAGTGTAACAGTCTATATTTATTTAGCAAATGTTAGGTGTTCATGTGAACCAAAACTTTACCAAATATGAAAAAAATAACTTGGCTATAAGCTTCGCCAGTGTCATTTAATAATGTTTTCATTAAAATATTACAAAGATGTATAACTTGTTTGTAGTTTAGTTCTGAAACATCTTGTTTCCAATGCGGATACATCAATTGCCTCAATTAAAGGATCTGGACAATATCTACGTTTTCAGAATAACCTACGAAATAGAAAGTTTTTTAGGATTTTCCAGTGTATTTAAACATTTGTTCACGAATAGAATAAATGAACGAATTACTCACTATAAATCTAATGAGGACATCATTGACCTCGAGCGCCTTTCCAATCAGTATGGCCCCCATGGGACCTATTCTGTTGCCGCTGATGTTCAGGGTGGTTATTGTATTGTTCTTTTTGAGGATATCTGCCACTCCAAAGGCACCCGCATTGTCAAACCCGTTCATGGACAGATTCACCTCTCGTAGGCGACAGTTTCCCTGAATCACAGGAACACTTGTCAGTCTCATATTGCAGGATATAAGACTATTCAAAAAAGAAGTGCAGCCATCAACGCCAGCTCCCTACGGTATGGCGCAAGTATGTTCATAATAATATATTTTTACTAAAACTTCATTTATTTATCGAATCTAGTTCAGAGTCAAAGATCTTTTCGGAACAAATATAGATTTTTGTAAATCACACAGGCGGGTCATCCTTCAGTGCATCAGTGCTTGGAATATGTGTGTACTAGAAATGTTCGATTACAATGGGAGTGTTAATTGTTTGGTATAATGATCGGCATAGACCTTTTCCATAGATGGTGCCAAATAAGGTGTAGGTACTAGTACTTTTTAAACCAATTGATGAAGAGCAAACAAGTATTTCAATATATTTTTATCAAAGGAAACCATTCAGCTGTTTTCATTCGTTTATACATGACTTGCTTAAACCCTGATCTATTACTGTGTCTGTATTGGTCGTTACTCCGAAACATACCGCTATACCGTCACAAATGTCCATCAAGCTAGACTTCCGAAAGAAATTCCAGCTCAGGTCGATATCCTCTATTGTTTCATTCTCACCTGGATAGAAATCAATGGAGCATATAAGAGTTACTCCTATAAATAAACTACAATTTAAATAACAAATAACGAGAAAAGAGCAACAAATGTATTCTCCGCTTAACTAGATACCCGTCTGAAGGACAGTGGCGTTATTTTGTTAAAACAATTTTGTTTTTATTGGTGTTTTTTTGCTATTTTTGGAATTGTACGTATTGGTCAATCATTGCAGTGGCCTCTCGATTTTATCCACATGCTCGCGATGAGAAAATTGTTCGAACGACAAAGCCTGAAATACTGTGTACTAAACTGTTTATCATCTAAATACTACTACCTGATTAATTGTCCTTTCAAAAATAACCAACTAAACACCATATTTTCCAAATTACTTCTAGACTTGATCCCAAATCCTCGGTCTGTGACAAATGTAAACAAACAGAAGGTTTGCGCGGAAGAATTCCATGAGCCTTAAAACTTTGAAGATTAGTTTTTTTAAACGATCTTACCGTCATTGGCTTTTCCATGTGCACATTTACACTTGAAATGGTGTTGTTATCTTCACAATATTTATTCGTAACTTTATATTGATTTGTTTATGACGGACTATTTTCTTACGCGGATTACTTTGGTGTGGATATTATTTCTGGTTAAGAACTTCACCTGACGCGACCATACGTCCATTTTTGAGAAAATGTGTTCCCAAATGCCGGGAAATGGGAAAATCCGTTCTCAAGTTATTTTCAAGTCGTTCTCAACTTCGTCTTGACTATTCTCATGCTGACAATCCATGGTAATGAATTCATTATGATACCGGTACATCTGTAGGTGGTATACAGTAGTATATAGATGATAACGATTATTATTATAGATAATCGAGAAACAAACGCAGTTCTATGGATACTAACCACATGTCTGTAGTTCTTAAAAGATTATGTATACAACGGTTGTAGGTTTAGAAATCACCTTACTGTTAACGTTATTTATAATGTCATAATCAAATGATCTAGGGCGACAATTTCATTGTTTTAGACAAGTTCGTAATTGTATAGTAAACATGTACCAAATACATGTCGTTGTCATAGTAAAAGAATGCAATATTTAGACTTGTATATGCTTTCTTCCTTTACCAACATTTAGTAACATCTACGGAAAAAAAAATGACGGAAATGACTGTCCCATAGGACTGGTCTGTAAAAAAACATTAGATATGTACTTGTATCTACTACTCTGTAGGCGGGGCGATTGTCCCGACCTCCTTGGCATATTTCTATACCAATGTTATTTGTTAAATGGACAATATAACCGATCTGGTCATTTCCTTCAGCACACGAACCACGCGTCTGGCCCTCAATCTTGATTCGTCTCGACCTTGTGGTAACCTGGAGCAACAGTATGGGCCGAGGAATATTTCACACGCCACATACAAAGGGAAGCAACTCTTACTCATCGCTGACCCTCACATGTGTCTTACGCAGCAGTTTGTGAAACTTACCGATAGCATGACCGAGTAGTTTTCCACATCCATCAGCAAGGCAATTGTGGCTAAGATTGATTTTCTTCAGTCTGTTATTTTCCTACAATGAAAATATATTTACAAGTATTTCACACTAGCGCGTATGATAATTGGCAGGTTCAAGAATCGATTGGTATTGATTTTAAATAGTAACTGGAAACATTTTTAGACAACATCGAAGTTGAAAAATCTTTTATAGATTCTCGATGTATTCTTAAAAGTTTGTTTACTTCATGGATTTTGCAACATAAAGTGAAGACAATATCAGCTGATTTTACTCCGCACCACCCGGATCACGTTGTACCGTAGTGGACGTGGTACCAGGTGTGACTTAAGGATCACCGTCAAACTGCAGTAGGATGTTCCTATATACATGACCTCCATTTAACTTCCGTTTGGATATAACTATAGAAAGGTTTAGGCAGAACACTTCCGATGACCAGGTAACTCAATCGGTTAGAGGTCCGGGATTCCAATCCCCGTCTAGCCCCACCAATTTTACACTCAATACACTATTATTACAATCTGAATAAAACCATCTGTTACATGGCTTCGCCTGAACGTAGTACGAAATTAACGGAGCCTAACAGATGATTTTAATCAGATTGCTAATATTGATAAAAGTTTGTTTCTTTCATCTTTATTATTGCTCTTAAAAGTCCATGGTTTTCTTTTCAGAACTGATTTATCAAAACTATAGTCATGCAGGAAAAAACAGTTTCCAACGCTTAGTTACAGTTTTTGAAAGTGGTGCGGTGATCCTTAAGCCAAAGCTTTATATTACTTTGTATTTGCTTCGCTAATAAAATATGCAATAAAAAAATCCCTACTATTATGAATTAAAAAAATATCGGGTATGTTAGTAACATGTTACGGCACGATTTCTCCCCCCGACACGATTTATCACTCGGGAGTGAGAAATCGTGCTAAAATTGCTGTATTCGCAACACGATTTCTCACCCAAGCACGATTTCTCACCCGGGTGTTGATTCGTGTTAAAAATAGTCCTATTATCCGTTGTCGTGTCGGGGGAAGAAACCGTGCCATAACATCGTATTTTGTGTAGACTCACGTAAAAGGCTTCAGCTAAAGCTGGTGCGTCGGTGTCACTAATCTGGTTACCTGTAGACAAAGTGTGGAAATTTGGTTTATTCAAGCATTGAACTGTTTTTGTATAATGCGCGCTAGATCATAAATACCATACAAAAACAGTTCAATACTTATATTTACGTTTTTTCTGCCTCTTTATGTTCTTTTTAACTGATAATTTATATTTAAAATGAAAAATGGCCGCCTTATCGACAGTCCACACAATTTCTTTCAATAGTTTGAACAGCGTATTGTCGCGTGCTGATTGGCAAACAAAGTAGTACTTTGATTTTTTTAACAAACACTTCAATTTTATTCCACAATTCAGTATCAATACAATTGCGTATTATATGTCTATAGGGTGATTTAAGTTTATCAATAGAACTCTGAGCTGAAAGTTAGATTTAAAATTGTTTCGATTTTCCCCGGAACAAATTTCGCGCATGGACAAATACAGTGAACACCGTAAATCCGACCTTGTCCTCCCCCAAGTAGTTATTTTTGGAAGTTAATTCGAACTTTTCTCTTTGCTCATTTTGTGAAGAATCCAGGCGTGAATTTATTTGTTGATTGTATGGGAACCTGACAACAGTCGGTAGATTCTATAACATCCTCGTTATTTGACATGTCGTCAGAAACTGAGGAACCGTGGATGCGAGACGCGTGAAACTGATAGCGTTTGAAGTGAGTGATCTTGCGACGGAGCACAGGTTCGTTACAAATGTCTGAAATGTTTATGTGTGCTGTGACTCATATCAGTAGGTCTGTAACATATATGTCAGTAGGTCTATAGAATATGTGTATTTCAGACATTTGTAACGAGCCCCTGTTGATCAGTGCAGTGTAACAGACGATATTTCTGATAAATTGCATGAGCGTTAAAATTGTTTCCATTGCCGGCATTGGTGATTTCAACCGATGTGCATTTTGTACGATATTGCAGACCTTGGTCTTGTTTTCGTTGTAATAAAAGTGTTTTTTATTTATTTATTTTTATTTTGCACATAAATTTACAATGACATTGTCAAATCTAACAATGCCCAGCGATATTTTAGCAGCCGTCATGTTTATTTATATTGGATATTGTAGTTCCGGTCAGTGTTGTATTAATACGCTAAGAATTGTGTCTCGTGATGCATGGTCTTTCAAAGAGGCTATATAGTGACCATGCCATTCAAATGTAAATATATTGTTATGTTTGCTGAACATCTCAAAGGCATTGTTAAATAAAAGGATGTACAATCGTCTTTCTTAACCACATCTAGTCCATCGTCGGGTTTGACGTTAGATATATTCACTTTAATATGAAAAGGCAAAGCCTTAAAAGAGCGTAGCTTTTGTTGATCTCTGATATTTACTGATTCAGAATACAACTTTCAGAATGAGATAAGATAAACTTTATTTAAATTCGGCTAGTCGAGGAATAACAATAAAACACAAGCTCTTATGAGATTAAGACCGACATAACAATAGGGAGACCGGGGCAAGTTCGGCCCTTTTTGTTTTTATCTAAGTCCGTTCTAGGAAGTATGGCAGCACGTCCGTTTTTGAACATTATTTAACTTTTCCTGTCTGAAGATCGGATGGCCGAACGAGCCCCGCCATGGGGTAAGTTCGGATAGGCATTCGGGTAAGTTCGGCCAATTGGAATCAGCTTATTTATGACATCATAAAGCATGCAACGTCCGATTTTACCGCCAGTTTTACGACTTTTTATGTGTTTACACATGAGCCGACCTTGCCACGGTATTATTGGTTGAACCTGTTCGGGCCCAAATTGATATTTCAATAAATTCTTATCGTACAGTAATACGGTAGTAAGTGATTGGCTTGGCTTTTATGTATTATCATTTGAAGCTGTCAGTTTGTTACACGTTACACTGTAAAAAGTAGCAATTCCGTTTCAATGTTCATATTACATATTTGACGAATAGTCTAAGTAAATGTATAGAGATGTTAGTTTAAAAAAGTGAAATATAAATAAGCAAACATTGTAATACTTTGATGTAACTGAAAGTGTCTTAATATCGATATGTAGTCTCAATTACTGTTCCATCCTGAAACACCGGATTGAATATCAAATTTTGTAACTCACTAGGTAATAATGCCAAATAAAATTACAGTTTCTGTCTGTAACTAGTTATAAATCAGCACGCGTTGTGAAAAGGTGATACGTTGCTGAAAAGGGGCATTTAACTCGGGTTCGTTGTCTGGACAATTATTGTTGATTTTGACATATGAGTGGTGATGCATAAATAATGTAAAGACTATATCCAGACTTTAAAAAATGTTACTTATTTCGTTCATATTCTCAACATATGGAAATCAAAAGGTGATGACATTTTAAATGATCTCTTTTTGAAGATATCTCCCGGTAGAAATATCAACAGAACCGGGTTTATGACGAAAAAGATCTTCAGAAAATATCCGCATTTTTACTTTTTGTGCCTGTGGAAACTGAAATAAAAAAAAAGTCTTGAAGCACCGACAAAGAGATAAATGAAACGGAAATCAGTTCCAGAATTTTCCGGTTATTTTTCATCCTTCCGGAAATAACCGATGAAGGCCGATGGATTGTGACGTAGTTGTGACGTCATGGTATGATAATCTTTGAACGAAGTTTCATGCCTGTTAGTATCACATTGTATGTGATAGACTTTTTTCACCCAGAATGTATATTATTTTTTATCTAAATAAATAAGTAATAAAAGATGAAGATTGTTTTCACTATATGAAGATATTCATGTATGGATTGAAACACAGTTGTCTTTGCTTCAAGGATACACTTCTTGTTTCCCCACTGGACGTCTACTTCCGGACGAAAAAAAAAAAAAAAAGGCAACTGGAAGAAAGGGGAAGCAACTCTGTTTACGCACGCATGTGTTACCATTAAAGAGCTTCGCTCGGGCGCCCGAGAGCTACGCTCTTATTATTGAAAATGGACCAAAACACACAGCCATTTGAAGATAATGAAATTAAGACGCAAAATTGTGTTTTTACGTACCCGCTAGGTTTATGGACTTCAGCGTAATGTTAATCGTCAGCATATTCGCGATAGCCGTTGCCCCCCGGCTGCCGAGGCGGTTCTCGGAAATGTCCTGAAAGTATTAGCAAAGAATTGGTTCTAATATTTTGGTTTGTCAACCGGTATGATGTTCTCATTCCAAACGTCACCAGAACAACGTATTCCATGAACAGCAAAAGAAATCAGACTTACCAGATCCGTGATGTAACAGTTTTCCTTTAACATCTCGGATAAGTACTCCCCACCTTCCCCTTCTAGCCAGTTGTCCTGCAGGTCAAGTGTCAAAACCGACGTATTGTTCTAAAATGAACATCATTATTTTAAATATTAATATGAGATATGTTCTTACAATTAAATGATATTATTTAATAAACTAACATATCTCCCTTCTTCAGCTTAGTAAAACTCTGGCTGCGTATAAATTAGCGTATACGCAATGAAAAAAATGATCGGTGGAGAGATACCTGTTTCAAATGTGGCGCCATTCTCGCTTCAGCGTGATACCTGTTCGATGATAGCCGCTGTTTGGTTCTTTCAACAAATAGAAACATGGGACATTTTCGGGATCCATTATGTCTGATTATACATCAAAAAAGAATGGTGGCAAACTTTTCATTCTAATGGATGCAAAGCAAAAACATTTTTTGACGGTAAAGTAAACAACGGTGGCTTTCTTTTTCGACGTTTAACCGCGTCACTACCAGAGCAGTGTGTTAATGCGTGTACATAACGACTTATAAGTGAATAAATATGTTAAAAGTTCTACTAATATTACTTAAAGTAAAAATGTAAAAGCTATGAAAAGAAGAAAAATAGTGTTGTTCACTGCATATTTTCTAAATTAACCCATAAATCGATGTAGATTCACTGAAACAATATTGTCCTAGCAACCACGGCTACCTTAGTTACCATCGTAGCAACCCGATTCGAATGTGTTTTTTTACTTTGCATAGCATTTGAACATTACTTACGAAGTAAATATAAGGATTGACCTTCATTTTGACGGCGTATACGGGAATATGAACGCAGTTGACAACGGAAATGTTCGTTATGGAGCGCTACCAAGCACCATAGAATATGTTCGTTGCCAACTGCGTTCATACTACCGTATACGCCGTCAAAATGCATGTCAGTCCTAAAATGCATAGTACACGTATATATCAACATAATTTTAAATATCAGAAAGCGTACGATTTGACTTATTTGTTGAACATCTGTTTTCGTTTATGATAAACAACTGGACTGGATAATAACTTGACCAACTTGTGTCGTCAAAACGAATTTGACACGATTAAGATTAACGTTAATATATTATCCTGAAGAGGTGGGGTGGATGGCACAGAGGTGAAGGGGAATAGCGGGGATAAGAAAAGGATTCATCAATAAACATAATTCGATACATAACACACGTGTATATGACAAACGTTATCAGGGTTACATTCAGTTATGTTCGTGCAAAATTGAAATGTCGATAAGTCAATACTGTATAAGTACAAGTGTATCTCTTTTGTTTTTGTCACTAACATTTGGAAATAAGGCGTTATTTTTCACGTACAATTTTGTATCAAAAACAGTTTACCATAAGTGGGTGAGCTAGCGCCCTTGCACCCGAACTTCCCAGACCGTGGTGTCGCATGTTCAGTACCGGGTCCTGCATATGTCTCATGAAGTAGGAGACTGGAATAACACCCAACTTCTTACACACCGATAGATACAAAGCACGTCCCGTTAAGTCAAAATCTGACTTCTTCTCCTCTGTGATAAAAAAAAAACCGCAAAGGTCACCAGTGTTATACCGTGTTCCTATTCATCATACTCAGTACCATGCTACTTTTTAGTTTCAATGTTTAATCATTTACTTCTAATTTCTTGGCTCTTTGATTAAAGGCTACACGCAGTTTACCATGACACAACACTGTTCCTGCTTGCGTCACTCATGACTTTGTTGATTGTATACTGAATACGTATTATACGTTGCCATTGTTTTTTGTACTCTAGTTTGCGAGAATATGTGTCTTAAACTGCACCAATACTGTTACAACTATATCGCGATACTTTTTGTCAGTACTGTTAAATTACTTTTTGACATATTTGAATACCTTCCAGTTCCAGATCGGTGTCGGTATCAACATTTTTGGCAGATCCCTCACGTGAACGTCCAGTTGATACATCTGACGTCACAGACTCTGAGCTTCTGTAAAACATTATGTTTTCTTCGGTAAGAATGATTGTGCGGATATTTCTAAACATTTTCTTAAAGTTGGTAAGTATGGATTGAGAAGTTCTTTTTAAACAACCAATAAGATTTATTAGTAAATCTTATTGGTTGTGTAAAAAGAATTTTTCATAATGATTATGCGGGTAGGCTACCTAAAACGTAACCGTTGGAATAACTAACTCTACAAAAAGTAAGTACAGCACCAGTTACGAGTTTTAAACCGTTCGTTCGGTAGAATAGACCTACTTGACTTGAGGTTTTCTCTGATTTTCTGTACCAAAACGGATTATTCAAAAACTGATGCATAAATACATTATGCAGTACTGCCACAATACAATGAATTACTTATTTGATGTCACATCTTTCTTCACATCGTCATCGATATTATCATCGAGCCCTGTGATGTCAGTATCCCCAAGCTGAGTTTCTGACATGTTTCTTCTTCCTCAAACAACATGGCTCCAAAAGCAGGATATGACGTCATAATGTAACGTCGTGACGTCGCGGAAAATATCGCGGGATATGGAAGGATACATTTTGGCGACAGACATGATGTATGTAGTGTTGGATGGGGTGAAGTTGGTTGCACTAAGTACATCACACGTGATGTTGATTAAACTTATTAGAATCACACGTGTGTGATTCTAATGAGTTTAATCAATAAAGTTAAAACCAAATGACTCATGATCAGTAAAGCTGGCCCCTTATTAAAGTGAAAACATAGTTGAATGTGATGTCGGGATATTCATATTGCATCTGTTATAATCGCGCGAAGCACGGATCCACTTCGGGGTTGTTTTATAGGAATTCGTTTTATAAACGACAGAGACATTGTACTTCTCGACCATTATCCCTGTAGTAGCAAACAACTGACGATAGTCTGGCTCTATATATATATATATATATATATATATGAACGGTGATAAATAAACATCAATCCGCCTGAAGAAGCCCTAGGAGGCAGAAAGGCCTAGCGGACGATCTGAAAAATTTTGTTTTTATTCTATATATATGTATATATATATATTGAGCCACTTATCAAGGCGTTCATCTTTTATTCGGGAAATGGAAAAGTCTGTTCTTTCACGAACTTTCCTAATCTAATTCCGAGGTTCTGTTAATTAATTTATTTATTTTCACACTGATATTTCGAAGGACATGCTAAGCAAGATATGATGTATAAAGAATAGTTCTGTGGAAATTTATAAAAATAAATACTTCATAGCACGGACTTAGATAACAATCTAATTCCGTGTTCATAGTGATAATGATAATGACTTCGCGATACACCATACGAAACCCGCCTGAAGATCCTGCAGGGTCTACCAACACTACTTTACAGACGCGATCGAGCCGATGTGAGCCAACTATTTAAGATAATGCACGGTTATGAGGAGGTTAGCTTGGACAATATAAAAATATCAGAGAATTCAATTACTGTTGGACATTCACTCAAACTTGGAAAAGTGTTCTCTGGATCAAACAGCTGTCAAAATCGCTTTTCAAATAGGGTAGTAAATAAGTGGAACTCCTTATCAGAGGCAACAGTTACAGCGAGCTCTATGAACATATTTAAGAGTAACCGGAACACTGACTGGAAAGAGAGAGACAAGGACAACAAATTCAATGTGTGACTGAATTAAGAGATGTGACTCTACAGTGAACCTTTTTTTTTAAACATAACCATCTACCGCTAGCGCAGCGAAAAGAATTATGTAAAAGTTTTAAATTGGGCCAATACAAGCTTTAAGCTCATTTCCCGGCCACCCGGATCAAGGTAAATCAAGGTAAATCGATATTAAAATGAATTTTTTTTCACTGTCCCATCATTGTAGTGAGTTTTGGGCGAGTCTACNAGATAAGGATAATTAAATATATACAATAAATATATATAAATAAGTCCGATCCTGCCCCGTTTCTGTCTTTTCTAGTGAGACTGTACAAACCACATTTTTCGACATCGTTAAATATTTTGGTAAATCATAGCAAATCAATGTCGAGACTTCCATTTTGAACGGCAATCATCCTTAAAATATCAGAACCAAGCGCGTATCTGAGACTGATTTAAGCATTTAATTGACAGAGGCGCTAAATTTGTTTTTCTACAAAAAAGAAGGCCGAGAGAGACAGATATGTCTTCTAAAAGGCTACGAAGAGTGGGTCTTGGCAAAGGAGTTTTGGATTGTTTGTCAAAAAACAATATCTACACCTGCAAGGTTACTGTCATGAATGTTTCTTGAATTATTGAACTAGCTGACCGCAGTGTCGATTGAGTGGCCACAGGGACCAATGTAAACAAACCCTGTCCACTGAAGTACTTTTACGGTGGTGTCGCCTATCGCACACCCCTTCATATTATATGTATGACAATGTTACAATCTTGAACCGTCAACGTCATGGTATGTTAAGCCTGCATATATGTATGAAATACTGCAATTTTGCATATATCACTGGGGTTAGCAACGATGAATATTGATCGGCCTACATTTACATTTTGAATCAATGAATCCTGAACGTTTCGGTACCCTATAAGAATATATGTTACGGTACTTTTTATAAAGACTGTAACGCTTTTTTCTTCTTCCATCACAAGGATCAGAACTCCAAGGTTGGAGTGCAAATGACCCTGGGAGGTGGCACTTAAAAGAATATATTTTTTTGTAATTTTTAGGCATTGTATTAAAACTATGTACATAAAGAGGATGCAAGAAATAGTAGAGAGACTGGTGGTAACCTTCAAGTGAGGACTTGAAAGAAGGTAAATCCTCACTAAGGGCCAGTGACGTTGGTAATGAGTTCCAGGTGATAATAGTTCTTGGGGAGGTGGGGGGGGGGGGGGGGAGAATTTGTAGGCATCTTTTTTTTGTGTTTATTTTGTGTACCCCCCTTGTTCATCTGTCGCCAGCTGATGTCCAGTAAATATCCGATAAAGCTGAATAATCTGCTAAAAAAAAAATAATAAGCAACACGTGCACAGAGAGATAAAGATGGATAAGGCAGCTGAATTATTATCTCTGAAACTTTTGTCTTGAAGTTCTCCATGGTCAGGGCATTTCAAATTCTATCTAACAGATCTTTTTCAAGTGGATCACAACTATATGCAGATAAAAGGAGATCTGGTATGGTCTATTATGGTCTCAATCAAATGATAAAGATTATCATGATCTGGACATCTGCTTTTTGATGAAATAAGCTGATCATTTGTGTAAATGACAACTACATTGTTATGCAGTTTGACATCTGTTCATCACTGTAAGTGGTCTCCAGCCAAAGTTTAACTTTACCAGCATCTCTGTGACACTGAAGGTGTTATTTTACCTGTTGTTGACCCACCTACAGGTAGTTTCATGACCAGGATCACCACTTTCAGGTCCAGACACATGTCATGTAGGTCAATCATATATGTCAGTTAACAAAAAAGATAATTAATAAAGAAAAAAAAAATTGTTTATTCTTTTTTTTTTATGTGACAATATTTTCATAGTTTTCTTAAATTTAGGATGATGTAGGTGAAATTTTGTTTCAGTATCTAGTAATTGGCATTGGGAAAATTAAATGAAAAACAAATTAACCTGCATGATGCAGATTTATTTGCTTTTAATTTATTTTTCCTTAGAATGTATATTAGAGAAGATACAGACAAAATAAATCATGAGGACTTTTGCAACGCAGTGGCAATTTGCTTTTTAATTTTGTATTCCATATTTATCATTGTTCGCACCTGTTGTTTGATCAAATGTAAGGGTAACCAGACAGACATCCGTTAAGTAATTCATTTGAGTTGGCTTTTAAATTGGGTAATTATAATATATCTTAATGGAGTATGTTAATATTTGAAATATTTTCAGGATCTACTGTCAAAAACAAAGTTGGAACTTCTGAAATTCCTTGGCCTCAGTATCTACAAAGTGGATGAAGTGGTGGAGCTGTGCAGTAAAGCCTGTGCTCCTAAACCTAGGACAGTGAGTTTGTATGAAAACGTGAGAAAGATAAAAAAAAATTGTCAAGCAAGATTAATATTGTGTATACAAATAGAGCACTTTTAGGGAATTCCCTCTAGCTCAAAGCTAAAAGGCGACCATAATCCTATGTACAATTAAAATCTTCAACACTTATAACTTACTGATTGTTACAGAGTTTGGAGTTATGGAACAAGAGAAAGCAGGGTTGTCACTTTTTCCAGACCTCCCTCCCTGATCTGGACAAGGTTCTGCATGGAGGAATACCAATGGGCACCATCACAGAAGTAATGCAATGTGACTTGTTTTAGGGGAGATAACCCCTACTCTTACATGTTTTAGGGGAGATAACCCCATACTAGACCCTTACCACATGTCATAATATCTTATTTTTGATAAAGTTCAAATTTTAAATCACATGTTCCTTCTGTGAAAAAAAAACTAATACTGAACAATTTAATTGTCCTTCCAAATCTTTTTTCTGTGAGAGAAAAACCCATGTGCTACACTTTTATTTTGGCTCCCATTTTGGGCCCCTGTACAGTAAAACCAATAAAACTATATACATTATGTATTTAATATCATTTTATATATATATATCTTTAATTAAATGTTCCTCATACTCTGATAATTGTAATACTTTAAATAATTAAATGAAGGAAGTTTTTAAAAATCTGAAAATCAACACTTTGATGATTTTAAAAATTTGTATAAAAAGTTTTGATCAATATTATTGACAATTTATTACCACTTTGACTGCCCATATTACCACCATAAGTTTAAGAATTATACTTTTGTGTTTGATGTTTGTACAGATTTCTGGTCCAGCTGGCTGTGGTAAGACTCAGTTCTGTCTGATGTTGAGTGTACAGTGTACACTCCCTCTGGAGCTAGGGGGATTGGCTGGCAACGTCTTGTACATCGACACAGAATCAGCATTCAGTGCAGAAAGGTGATACATTTTTAATAAAAGAATGATTCATTATATGTAGCCAAATATTTTCAGTTCTTATATGTGTAGTTTCATCTGAGTGAATGGTAGTCTAAACTAGATAATGTGCAGGCCTGGAGAATACTGTACACTTTTATTTAAGAAAATACTCTCGCTTCTAGCAGATTGGCTCCATCCAAGTAATGAATGAATTACTCTGTCAGGGGTTTTCCTAAGAGCAAGTTAATTCTACCTTATTCCCAATGAAATTAGACATTTTCTACCTGGAAAACTTTTTTTCCATGTATTCCTTATAAATGCAGTATAAGAAGAAGAAATCTTAAAGTTCTATATTTTTTTTTAAAGAAATTGAAAGGAAAGTTAATATAAATATTTCATGATGCTTCGTTTCTTTATCTGTCATATTCCCCAATCAAGTAACTTTGTAATTTCTATATGGAAAAAACCTTGCGTGGTCTGATATGAAAAGAACTTTAGCAAGCATTGTTTGTCATGTTTTGGGCGTATTTTTAGTGGTAATTGTTTTAAATCCTGTAACACCTCATTGAGCTTAGCAAAAACTAATATGATGTATGTAATGTAGAATTTATTTAACAATTCCTAGAGTAATCATGAAAATGTGTTTTATTGAACTAGAAAGTAGTGCTAACCAATGAAAATATTCTGTTCATTTCCATTGTTCTGACACATTGTTCTGATTTCAACAGCACATACATTGTCTTATTACTAACCATTAAGTGAAGAAGTCCTTTCAATCAAGATTTTAGTTTGACTTTGATGAGCAGTCAGAATTATTTGTTAAATTCAAGGTACATTTAAGCAGTCATATCAATGACCAATCTGAAATATATATTAACGCCACATACATTAGTTAACTACATGAAATAAGGAAATAATGTTGATAAAATTTAATGGTTCCTTGTTAAATACCATATTGGGTATGAATTTTTTTTAGAAATGTTGTAGTATCATATTTCAATATTAAAGGCATCTACTTGAAATATTAAACATTTTATAAAAATACCAGTGTTTTCTCATCAATAAATTCACATTTTTTTTTTATCTAAGTAAATGTGTGAATTAACAAAATTATTTTCATAGAAAAAAGGGTGACATTTAAGCAACCTGCTTTTGTGTCGTTTGTGTTAGAAATGTGTGTAATATTTAAGAGGAAGTTATTCAAATAAGAAATTGGAAAATAGCTCTATTTTTTCTCATAAATCACTTTTGGGTCAAAAACAGCTTAATTGGACTTGGTTAAAGATTTTGGGGAAGTATTTTTGTGCAGTGTTGGATAGGCCACCACCATCAATAGGCTGTTGATTATTCCATGTTGGCTGGTTATATCTTCTTACATGTTAAGGTACAGCAAAACCTTGTTATATTGCCATCATTTGTTCAAAGAAATGTTGGCATTATAAAGGGTTTGGTAGTAAATTGAGGGAAACATATAAGGAATTTTTAAGAAAAACATAATTAAGGGTCCTGAAAATATGTAAGTGAGGTGGCAAATGAAATGACAGGCATTATATCGAGGTTTTACTGTACATTTATTTCTATTGATATTTGCTATCTTATGATATATATCACCAATAGGCGAGCTATGCTGTTCCCCAACAGCTCTGGTTTAATTGTGCAGGGTACCTTTACCCATGAACCTATCACTGTTGCATACAGTTAATGTTTTGGGAGTGTTTTAATGGTAGAGGTTTTGGAAGTGTTTTAATGGTAGAGGATTTTATAGGGACAATACATTTGAAAATGTGTAATGAATTATGACATCACTTGTACCAAAGCATGTGTACATGTAAACGTATTTTCCCTGAAATAAATTTAACAACTCTTCAAGTTACTTGTTTATTACTTTTTGTGTTAAGCACCTGATTATTGGTAAAGTGTAACATAATCTCTAGACTTACCTCTTTGTTGTTGTATTTTGTGACAGTGTTGTACATCGTGTACATGCTGTCATTGCATCTTGCTCACATCTATCTTAACGTGACGACATCTAACATCTATCTTAACGTGACGAAATCTAACATCTATCTTAACGTGACGACATCTAACATATATCTTAACGTGACGATATCTAACATCTATCTTAACTTAAGGTACAGCAAAACCTTGTTTAACATGACAAAATCTAACATCTATCTTAACGTGACGAAATCTAACATCTATCTTAACGTGACTACATCTAACATCTATCTTAACGTGACGACATCTAACATCTATCTTAACGTGATGATATCTAATATCTATCTTAACGTGACAAAATCTAACATCTAGCTTAATGTGACTACATCTAACATCTATCTTAACGTGACGATATCTAATATCTATCTTAACGTGACAAAATCTAACATCTATCTTAACGTGACGAAATCTAACATCTATCTTAAAGTGACGATACCTAACATCTATCTTAATGTGACGATATCTTACATATATCTTAGCGTGACGAAATCTAACATCTATCTTAAAGTGACTATACCTAACATCTATCTTAATGTGACGATATCTTACATATATCTTAGCGTGACGAAATCTAACATCTATCTTAAAGTGACGATACCTAACATCTATCTTAATGTGATGATACAATATCTAACATCTATCTTAAAGTGATGAAATCTAACATCTATCTTAAAGTGACGAAATCTAACATATATCTTACCGTGACGAAATCTAACATATATCTTAACGTGACTACTTCTAATATCTATCTTAACGTGACGAAATCTAACATCTATCTTACCGTGACTACATCTTATATCTATCTTAGCGTGACGATAACTAACATCTATCTTAACATGACGATATCTAACATCTATCTTAACTTGATGATACGATATCTAACATCTTTCTTAACGTGACGATATCTAACATATATCTTAACATGACGATACCTAACATCTATCTTAACGTGACGATACGTTATCTAACGTCTATCTAAACGTGACAATATCTAACATCTATCTTAACGTGACGATATCTAACATCTTTCTTAACGTGACGATATCTAACATCTATCTTAATGTGATGATATTTTACATCTTTCTTAACATGACAATATCTTACATCTATCTTAACGTGACGATATCTAACATATATCTTAACGTGACGTTATCTAACATCTATCTTAACGTGACGATATCTAACATCTAACTTAACGTGATGATACAATATCTAACATCTATCTTAACGTGACGATACGATATCTAACATCTATCTTAGCGTGATGATAACTAACATCTATCTTAACATGACGATATCTAACATCTATCTTAACTTGACGATATCTAATATCTATCTTAGCGTGACGATAACTAACATCTATCTTAACATGACGATATCTAACATCTATCTTAACTTGATGATACGATATCTAACATCTTTCTTAACGTGACGATATCTAACATCTATCTTAACGTGATGACATCTAACATTTTTCTTAACGTGACGACATCTAACATCTATCTTAACATGACGACTTCTAACATCTATCTTAACGTGACGTTATCTAACATCTATCTTAACGTGACGATATCTAACATCTAACTTAACTTGACGATATCTAATATCTATCTTAGCGTGACGATAACTAACATCTATCTTAACATGACGATATCTAACATCTATCTTAACTTGATGATACGATATCTAACATCTTTCTTAACGTGACGATATCTAACATCTATCTTAACGTGATGACATCTAACATTTTTCTTAACGTGACGACATCTAACATCTATCTTAACATGACGACTTCTAACATCTATCTTAACGTGACGTTATCTAACATCTATCTTAACGTGACGATATCTAACATCTAACTTAACTTGACGATATCTAATATCTATCTTAGCGTGACGATAACTAACATCTATCTTAACATGACGATATCTAACATCTATCTTAACTTGATGATACGATATCTAACATCTTTCTTAACGTGACGATATCTAACATCTATCTTAACGTGATGACATCTAACATCTTTCTTAACGTGACGACATCTAACATCTATCTTAACATGACGACTTCTAACATCTATCTTAACGTGATGTTTTCTAACATCTATCTTAACGTGACAATATCTAACATCTATCTTAACGTGACAAAATCTAACATCTATCTTAACGTGACGATATCTTACATCTATCTTAACATGACAATATCTAACATCTATCTTAACGTGACAATATCTTACATCTATCTTAACATGACAATATCTAACATATATCTTAACGCGACGTTTTCTAACATCTTTCTATTTCAGTCTCACATTCTTAATTTTCACAAGTTTTTGTTTGTCTTGACATTTTTTTAACATTCTTATATTTAGAAAAACAATTATTTTCTTTGTGAGTTTGAAACAAGATACATAGAATAATATTGTATACATTGTAGTTGAGAAGCAAACAAATACAAAAAAAAAAGAAAAAAAAACAGTTTGGCTATTTTCACATGTTGAAACCAGGATATTAGGTGTTATGTACCATTGTATTGTTTTAGAAGAAAATATAGGAAAGAAAAGAGTAATGAAAAGAGAGAGAGGGACAAGAAAGAAAAGGAAGGTTGGAGAGGTGTCGAAGGATTTGACAAGGGCTTATTGTTCAATATTGTGTAAATTTTTGTACATAGGCTACCTTTAACAGGAATTACATTGGTACTATATTATTATAATTAATTTACATTTCATTTATATGGCCTGCAGTAATCTTTCCCATTTTTTCCATTCCCTTTTAAAATTAGTGAGATAATTTTCACCATTACCTACAGCAATGTATTTTTGAGTATTGTAAATATCTTTAATTAAGTTTTTCAAAGCTAAAACTGATAGACCAGTTTGCAGACATCTAGCTTTATAAATATATAGTTTAATGATAAGAAGTACTAAATTATCAACATTGTTTTTTCTATCATAGAAACCAAAGATAAAAGATTCTTTATTAAAAGCAAATGGAATTAATAACACATCTAGCAATGATTCAAAATCTGTTAAAAACACTTGTACTTCTTTACATTCCCATAATGCATGAACTATAGTTTCTGTGTCAGTTTTACAATGAAAACAATATGGACTATTAACAAGACCTATTTTATAAAGATATGAATTAGTAGTTAAAATCTGTTGATTGATTCTAAATTGAAGCCACTGTAGTTTTGTGTTTTTACTAATTTTGAAGGGAATGGTATAGATTTTCTTCCATATCTCTGTGTTAAATTCAAATATTTCCTCCCACTTCTTTCTACCGGTAGATATTGTATTATTTTGGCATAGAACATGGTAAAAGTCTTTAGTTCCTTTTTTGTGTTTAAGAAAAATTTCCAAATTAATTGGGATATATGGATAATCTACATTCAAATTAGAAACATCCTCATGTGAAATTGATTTCTTTATGGAATTAATGACACCTTGATAAGTGAGAAAATTTATATGAATATCAAATTTCTCTGAAAACTCTTGATGGCTGTAAAACAATTTATTTCTTCTTTCTAACGTGACAATATCTTACATCTATCTTACCATGACGATATCTTACATCTATCTTAACATGACAATATCTAACATTTATCTTAACTTGACGACATCTCGCATCTATCTTAACGTGACGACATCTAACATCTATCGTCCTACTAATGAACACACACACTGTTATAAACAAAGAAACCCCAGTTAGAGAGTTCATATTCACTATTTGTCAAAATAAATCAATTACGACTTGGAAATAATGAATTGGCAAATCACATATTAAGGTAAACATTGGAAATTGGTATCAATTTTGGTACACTGACATTACACATCAAGAAATAGCTACTAACTGAATTTACCTTTTATGTTAAGTTTAAATTAGTAGTATGTGTATGTTACAAATTCAACAGCTATGCAGGATATTAATTTTTGTATTTCAACATATATGTACCCTTGACAAGATTGTCTTTTTGTACGTAACTAAATTGAAGGAGAGAAGAAATGGATTTAATGTTAATGAAAATATTAACCCTACCTCATACTTCGTAAGGTTTCTCCTTCCCTGAAATCCGCTTTCCATCTGGAGTAATAAGTACAGTGTATAGAGTTGTATGTACCATTGACATAAAAAAAAACAAGCAGAAAAAAATGTTTGTGAGAAAGTGAAAACAAAGTTCTCTCAATATAAATTTTGTACCAGATATAGAGTAACCTAATGGTATTTCCGTTGATTTCTAAAGGAAACAACATAAATAAGATATAAAGGTAGTGCCAATGTTCCATGTCTGTCTGACAAGTTACGGGTTGATGGCATTTCAATAATTTCTCTTTATTTAGAAAACCCATCATCTTTAGCAATACACAAATGTTTAATTGATGTCATGGGGTTTGTTCATTTATTTTTCATTCAATGTCACATTGTTTTTACAAATACTGAATTTTTGCCTATATATATTTTATGAGTTAGGCAGATACCACTGCGTTTAGTGTTAGAGTACAAATATTGATGTATTTTGCTGTGATATTTCTGTGACATGTTAATGGCAGCAGTAGAAGTCACACCCCTTGATCACAGCCATGTTGTTCACCTGATTGCTGTCCTTGCTGGAATTTCTTGCTCACAAAATAGCATGGTCAGGTTTTGTAAATATATAGCTTCCTTACAGTCTGTAAGTAACATGGATGGTTACCAAAAGTTTAACAAATACTCCAAAGTGTGCCCTCGCTCTAACTGTATCAGCTAACTGTCTTTTGTTTTTTCCGATGTGCTTTGTAATCTATGTGTTTTGGGGTCCAAAATATAATGTTTGTTAATTTACTAGTGAAAATAAAGTTTGTATTATTTTGCACTGAAGTAAAATAACACCTTTATTGAAATAAGTTTTCTCTGCTAAGTTTTACTGCTTAACAATATATAGAAAAAATGAGAGTTTTATAAATGAATTTGACATGTTTCCAGGCTCGTGGAGATTGCCCAGGCCAAACATCGTGATCTGTTTGTGGAAGACAAGCTGGTAGAACTGACCAGTCAGGTGTATGTAGACACACAGCAGACCTGTGCCAGCCTCATGGACAGGTAATTATCCTATAGTGTATTGTTATACATGGACAGGTAATGATCTCATAGTTTATTGGTATACATGGACAGGTAACTATCTTATAGTTTATTGTTATACATGGACAGGTAATGATCTTATNGGCTGACCCCCCAGGGGGCTGAGGGGCGGGGCCAAAAAGGGTTATTTGGCTATATTGCTTTAAAGCGACTTCTTCTCTGGAACTAAGTGATGGATATCAACCATATTAGACTGGAAGCATTCCTAGGTGGTGGGGATTCAAAATTGTACAAATGGTGTGGCTGACCCCCCAGGGGGCTGAGGGGCGGGGCCAAAAAGGGTTATTTAGCTATATTACTTTAAGCGACTTCTTCTCTGGAACTAAGTGATGGATATCAACCATATTTGAATGGAAGCATCCCTAGGTGGTGGGGATTCAAAATTGTACAAATGGTTGGGCTGACCCCGCAGGGGGCTGAGGGGCGGGGCCAAAAGGGGGCATTTTGGCTATATTGCTATAAACAACTTCTTCTGTAGAACTATGCACTGGATATCAATCATATTTAATTAGAAGCATTCATGGGAGGCATGGATTCAAAATTGTACAAATGGTGTGGCTGACCCCCTGTGGCGGCTGAGGGGCGGGGCCAAAAAAGGTTATTTAGCTATATTACTTTAAGCGACTTCTTCTCTGGAACTAAGAGATAGATATCAACCATATTTGACTGGAAGTATCCCTAGGTGGTGGGGATTTAAAATTGTACAAATGATGGGGCTGACCCCCCAGGGGGCTGAGGGCTGGGCCAAAAGGAGGCAATTTGGCTATGTTAATATAAACGACTTCTTCCGTAGAACTATACCATGGATATTGATCATATTTGGTCGGAAGCATTCATGGGAGGCAGGGATTCAAAATTGTACAAATGGTGGGGCTGACCCCCCGGGCTAAGGGGTGGGGTCATAAATTATTTTTACTTGGAAATGGTTGAGATCCCCACCATATAACCATATATACAATTGCTGAGTATAAAGAGAGGAATGCACATTTGCTTCCAGGATGGCCCTAGGGTCTGGCCCCACCCTTGGAGACTTAACCCCTGGGTCATAACTTTGAAATGGTTAGGATCCCCACCCCAAAACTATATATACAATTGTTGGGCATAAAGAGACGAATATTAGAATTGATCCTGGGGTCTGGTCACAGCTTGGAAACAGTTGAGATCCCCACCCCATAACCGTACATAAAATTGCTGGGCATAAAAAATCAAATACAGATATGCTACAAGGATTGGCCTTGGGGTCCGGCATATTTCCTTAGATCTCATTTGGAGAATATTTTGCCATGATTGCTGAGATATCCGGGTGAGCGATACAGGCCCTCTGGGCCTCTTGTAGTTTATTGGTACATATACATGGCTCATTCATATCGTCAAAGTGGAAATTTTTGCATTGTGGAAATGCTGGCATTTTGAGCATCAAGTAAATTAAGCTAAATATATCCACACAGTATATTAACAAATTACATATTATATGTATAGATATCAGAAATATTACCACCAAGAAAAAGCTTAAAGAATCATCAGTGATGGTCTGTTGATCAATTATAATATTGAAATCAATCAGCTGGCCCATTCTGATTCCTATTATCATTGGCCCATTCTGATTCCTATTATCAATTATAAATTCCACAATCAATATTATCGGTTATTGGTAAACTCAAGTGCCAAATGTATACAATTCATCACTATGCATTAAAACTCATGTATTTCTTTGATTTTTATTATACATTTAATGGTGATGTTGACAAAAAGTCAAAACTACATAGAAGTTGGTGTTAATTCATTCATTATAAAAGAAAGAATCTTGATGACTAGTCACACTCTGTCTATTGATAGAACCATAGTGTTGGGTCTCTTCATTTGGATATTCAGTCCTGTAAAATTAGATACACATTATACATATATTGCCAATCACAAACTATCTATCAGTAATGATATTTGAGACCAATTGCCCTTCACAAAGTGAGAATTTCCAATTTTAAAGTAATTATTTTATTAAATCATTCATTTAACTTAAAGGATTGCCAGAATCAAGACAGAAACCAACCTGAAAGTCTTTTTCCTCTATTAATGGGGGGGGGTTAAATAGTAAAATGGTTCTAAATCACGCTGACAGAGATGGTGTTGTATTGTAGGCTGGAGACCATTGACAGAGATGGTGTTGTATTGTTGTAGGCTGGAGACCAATGACAGAGATGGTGTTGTATTGTAGGCTGGAGACCATTGACAGAGATGGTGTGGTATTGTAGGCGGGAGACCATTGACAGAGATGGTGTTGTATTGTTGTAGGCTGGAGACCAATGACAGAGATAGTGTTGTATTGTAGGCTGGAGACCATTGAAAGGGATGGCGTGGTATTGTAGACTTGAGACCATTGACAGAGATGGTGTTGTAGTGTAGGCTGGAGACCATTGACAGAGATGGTGTAGTATTGTAGGCTTGAGACCATTGACAGAGATGGTGTGGTATTGTAGGCTAGAGACCATTGACAGAGATGGTGTTGTAGTGTAGGCTGGAGACCATTGACAGAGATGGTGTGGGATTGTAGGCTGGAGACCATTGACAGAGATCGTGTTGTATTGTAGGCTGGAGACCATTGACAGAGAAGGTGTGGTATTGTAGGCATGAGACCATTGACAGAGATGGTGTGGTATTGTAGGCTGGAGACCATTGACAGAGATGGTGTGGTATTGTAGGCTAGAGACCATTGACAGAGATGGTGTTGTATTGGAGGCTGGAGACCATTGACAGAGATGGTGTGGTATTGTAGGCTAGAGACCATTGACAGAGATGGTGTTGTATTGTAGGCTGGAGACCATTGAAAGAGATGGTGTGGTATTGTAGACTTGAGACCATTGACAGAGATGGTGTTGTATTGTAGGCTGGAGACCATTGAGGAGGATATTATAAGAAGAAGGTAAAGCTTATCATTGTGGACTCCATAGCTTCTCTGGTGAGGAAGGAATACAGTACGTCTCTCGGGCGTAACCTCACTGATCGCACCAACTTCCTGTCCAAACAAGCTGCACTGCTCAAGTACATCGCTGAGACCTTTTCCATACCGGTATGTTATTAAGTGCAGAACTATAAGTACGAGATAGTGTTTAAACCTATAGACAGGTGTCAATGTAATATTAATCATAATCAATGAGAGCTTTAACTTAGAACTGAATTAATTCATTTTCAATCCAAAACTTACATTTGAAAACAAAATATTGTAACCTTTTCCAAATCGTTAAAATTCGCTGCATTTAAACTCTGCAGCACTTGCTTTACTTTTACTTGAATTGTTACAGTTGTGTGATTGCACTTTGCACCAACATTACCATGCTGACAACAAATGGAACATTTTAGGGGGAAAAAAATCAAATTGTAAAAGACTGTAGTATAAGAATGCAGTATCTTCATTATTATCATAGTTTTCCATTCTAAATAGATAAAACAATTCAAATGATTGTATACAGACATGTCCTGTAAAATGTATGTGTATACTTACAGGTGGTTGTCACCCATCAGATCACCACCAGGTACAACAGAGTATAAATGTATGTGTATACTTACAGGTGGTTGTCACCCATCAGATCACCACCAGGTACGACAGAGTATAAATGTATGTGTATACTTACAGGTGGTTGTCACCAATCAGATCACCACCAGGTACGACAGAGTATAAATGTAT